TTTTGTCTTTCTGCAATACCTTCAATTTTTTTCCTAAACAATTAGTTTAACCATGGCAGATAGGGTCTATTATGGCAAGCAAAGGACAACTAATTTCTTTCTAAAAACAATTCATTATCTTAAAAGCACTACCATGATAGAAAATGGACTACCATGGTATGAAGGAGTGAAACACAATTTATAAAAACAGCCCACCTTTTAAAAGACTATCATGGTAGAAAGAAATAAAATCACTTTTATTTACAAATTACTAGTATGATAGAAAAGATTTTATCATGGTAAAAAGAAACGAACTAGATAAACTATCATGGTAAAAATAATTTAACTTATTAAATAGTTATTTTTAAAATTTAGGATCCCAAGCATCTATAATGAAAAGAAAGTATGAAAGGCCCATATGATCCCGTATAAGTTAAAACCGTAACAAATAAATATAAATTAGGAATTTAGAAGCTAATGTGCATTTCAAAAACTTTTGACTATTTCACAAGTATTTCAAATGATATATAATCATTTTTTTCTATTTAAATATAAAAGAAACCATAGTTGGATTACAGCCACGTAACACAATTCATATAAAGGAAACTTAATACAATATCCTCTAACATTTGTATTTGATCTATGCACAATATTATCTTTATAAAATTATCCTCCCACATACCACATAGGTCAAAATATCATTTTTCCACCATTATGCTTCCTACAAATACAAACCAAATCCAAAAACCACAACTAGCTTAATTGTTCAAATTCAACAAGTCGAGACACATGGCCTAGTCATCATGCTATTTCAAACCATTTAATATCAAGTCTCATTAATGCCTCAACGAGTATAAAGATATATCTCCATAATTTTTTCATGATTTATAGTCACCCCAAATATATAACACGTAGAAATTATTTACAGAGGTATGATCACAAACATGAATCCATGTGCTTGATAAATAACAAAATCCCTAAACATAGACAATAATACATCATTAAAAATTATAAATCTAACCCAAAAGGAGTAAATGGTTCTATACCACTGAGCCTCATGGGTTTCTCTGAATAACATATTGGCTCTTCTCCTAAAAATGTTAACCACAAGAGATGAAACTAAAAAGTCTCAGTAACCAATGCTAATTTATAATAATATATACAAACATTTATATGTGAGTTTGCTAAGTAAGGAAAAATAATACATTTTAAACAAATACAAGAGATATTATATTACATGATAAACAACCATTATTATCTTCCTCCATTAACCTTGAGCCATAACTCTTACTTGGTGCTAAATCATTAGGCTAAAGGTAGACTAGCCCAAGCCCTTACAAGTCGCCTATCAAGCCTTCAATAGGGGTGTACCATGTGACATAAAAATATAACAACAAATCTTCCAATGACTCCTACAAAAGTCAAGTAATTAAATATCAACAATGTGCAAATGTATAATATCACAACCTTCACAATTTTTTCATCTCCAACAACAATATAATATGACATTCCACTTGGCAAAACATTTAAAATGCACAACTTCAATTTTACAATTTCTCAATAAAATATGACAACGTCCATAATTTTCTCATTTCCAACAACATTACAATATGACATCCTACTTGGTAAAACATTTAAAATACACAATTTCAATTCTAAAATTTCTCAATAAAATATTCACATAATTTCTAAAAAAATCTCAACATATTTTTTTTTCCAAAATAATCACACAAATAGCAGTAGGGCAACATTAATCACAAATTAAAGCATAGTTACCTTATAACTTTAACAATAATTTATCCCTCACAACTTCTCTTCCACCACAATCTTCACCAACAATACAATTTATATATAGCATGGTATTATAATTTATTAATTTCAATTATTGAAATCAATAAAACAACTCTAATCATAGAGTTGGAAGACATTGCTTACACTTTTAATTTTTATTATTTATATCATATTTAAGGTTAGAATGACAAACTAAAATTCTAACCCTCTTCTAATAAATTATAAATATCAACAAACTATAATTAGTCTATAACTCATTTTTAATATCACCATTTTCATCTTTCCATTCCATAAATTCGCATTAAAATACCCTATAAATAAGAAATTTAGCCTCATGTCACAAACCATCATTTTAGCACTTTACAATCATATTTCTATATCTAAATAAACTCCTAATTATCACAAAGAATCCTAATCTTCCCTGAATTTTATTTCCTTTGAAAATCCTAATTCACTACCACAAATAATTTTCCTCCAACCCAATTACATTTATAAAATTTAATAACCTCATTCAACTCATTAGAACTATTAAACATTAAAACAATAATAATTTCCTCAAGTCATCCTAAATCTCAAAATACCAACATTTAAAATTCCCACCAAAATCATTAATATTCACATTCCATTATGAAACTCAAAACCAATCCATTCAATCATCAATACAACCTTCATTAACTCAAAATAAACCATTAAATTTGAAATATATCACTTCCAAAATTATAAATTAAAAATTTTCTACTAAACCATAACTTTATTTCCTCAAATAAACTAATTGGGCAAAATCTGTTCCATACAAACTCTTTTTCCAATACTATTAGCTATCTTAAAAATTAAATAATCAATTAAAATGTCCAAAAACTTAAAATTTATCCAACCCCAGTTTTTTTCACTATCATGAAATTAAAAATCAAAGAGGATATGTAATTAAAAAAATATTTATAATACTTATACAGTATTAAAAAGCTTGAAATCCCATTTAAAATATTCTGGAGCCAAGATTCAAGTTTCTTGCCCCCTACTGCTCATCACTCTGTTTCCGCGGCGCTGTAGCTGCAAGTAGGCGAAGGATTGAGTATATTTACTCCTTATTGCCGTGTGTATGGGTGATGTTGGCAAGTAATTGCTTTCACAAATATATCAACCTCTCCCTCTCACATACACACAGTGCCACTGCCGAACCAAGAAGAAGAAGGAAAAGACGAAGGGAAAGGAGGAACGAAATGTGCACTGTGTGTTCATGTCAGATTGTCAATGGCAATTGTAATTGCCAATGTGTTTGACCTTGGCCCACGTCCCCCCATCAAATAATGTTTTATTGTATAATATATATATATATATATATTATATTGTATATTTATTTCTAAATACAATATGATTGTTAAGGCATTTCACCAATGCTAACAAATATTTACTACCTTCAATTTTATATTTCTTCTTCATAAAATAATAATTTAATGCTTTAAGAATATAACTAGAATCAATTTATCTTGATTATGATTTTCTCCAATTTCATGTTAATTATTACATTAAATTTCAATCCCATGTACTTCTAGATGTTAGATAACATAAATTAAGTCACCCTAAACCTCAATTTACCTAATAAATCATATCCAAACTTTACTTAAATTCTATCAATAAAAATTAAAATGTTACACTTTCCATAACATGGGCAATGAAGAAAGGGCAAAGAAAGAAGAAGGAAGGTAGGGCTTTTTTTTTTATTGTTTGTCAATTTCCATAACTTAGGCAGACGTGGCATGATGTAAATCGCTGGATGAGATGGACAGTTTTGATGTGGGCATCATGCATGGATGAGTAGAAAGTAGATCTAAATCCATGTCTGTCTCCTATACCCTACGTGGGCTTGAATTTGGAGGGATTAAAATTGGGAGGGAGATTATGGTTTTAAAATCATGTTTGCTATAAAAAAAAGTGAGATTATGGTTTTAAAATCATGTTTGCTATAAAGAAATAATTGTAGGAATACTTTACTTCACTTTATTCTACAATTAAAAAAAGTTATGAAAAGACTACAATACCCCTTATAATTAATAAAAAATTTTGCCCTAAAAGGCTAAAACCCATCTTCTCTATCATGACTCACGATCGAACCCCACCTCCCTCCCCCTGCCATTGATTACTTGGAACAAATGCTGCAATCTCTATCACGGACTCATCATGATTTGGGAGCAAACATGGCGATGGAGATCATCCGATGACTTGGAACTATATTTAGAATCTCTTGAACTGAAGATGATGGCAATGGATCTAGGAGCAAATGCAGTGATAGAGATTATTTGATGACTTGGAACCAGATCTAGAATCTCTCGAACTAAGACGGTGTGAATTTGGTAACAAATGCAGTGGTGGACCTTATCGGATGACTTGTTGCTAGACCTAGACTCTCTCAAACTAAGGAAGACAATGATGAAATACAGAGTTTTGAATTGTCATCGATGATGCCGTTGAACTAGGTTTGAAGATGAAGATGAAGGAAATGAATGAGTTTTCGAACTAGTAAATGAACATGATGTAGGATCTGGACATTCTTAAACTAGTGAAAAAAGAAGATGAAGTACACGAAAGGCAGGGGTGAGAGCATTCTTGTCTTTATAAAAATCAATCTCATGATTGATTTTGCAATACAAAAGAGGTGGTGGTGCTTAAAATATTCATTCTCACTTACCAAATATAAAAATTTGGATTAGTGAGTGCCAATCCCAGTCTTACTCCTTCATTCTTCCATACCAAATATGGCTTATGTATTAAACCTATATGAAAATTTACAAGTTTTATTGTCAAATTTACCGCTCAAAGATCACAGATTTAATAGGGGATATACACTAAGGTCCTATAGATAAACGTTTATTATTAAGAAATCTCATGAATTTTTTTCAAGTTTTAAATCTTGCATATTACTCAATTGTTAATATCTTTAATTAAGTTGTTAATGCATAAGATTTGAAATTCAAGAGTGTTTTGTAAACTTTATGAGATTTTTTGATAATAGACTTTTTTTTGTGAGATCTGAATATAATTTTTTCAATTTGATATAACAATAAGATCAAATTGGTCATCACCGTTTTTCAGGGAATGATATTGGTCATTTGGAGTGATTTTAATTTTTTTTTTTTGGTTTTTGAACATAAATATCTTTTGATTTTGGTCTTCCGGCGTATTTTTTTCCTCTTATTTTTAAACATGAAACGTTGAAATCTCAACCACTCTTATCGACTGCGCTTCGTGAAAACGGAAAAGCAAATGTCCTCTTCCAATTTCATGTCAGGACCCTGGGCAATTGCTCGCGCCGGACAGGCATGAGCGTGATCCTGTTCGAAGTAGCAATCACAAAAGAGAATCACGGAGGGACTGGGTGAGAGCGGAGCTCGCTCAACGAGGCTGGGGACATTGTCGGGGTGACAATCTTTTAAATTAAAGTTCCGCTTTTTATTTCCAATTCCAGATTGTTGCGAATGGCAATCTCTGCATCTTGGCTGCACTTGCCCTTGATGCTGGTGCAGATATTGATCTTTCAGTTCTCATTAAGAGCTACTGCAATCAGGTAATGTTACGCGTAACTTTCTTTCTCGAAAGAAGGAAGTTCTTTTTCGCTATCGAGAATCCAGAATATGATATATTAAGTTGCTCTTAATTTTCAAATGGATATTTTCGGAGACTTATGTATAAATTGTCAATTTTACAGTCTTTTATGGCCGATTTGAAATCGGTATTCTTGGTCAAATCAAATCTCATGAATGTCCTGACAACAAAAAAACTCATGATTCTAGAAATGAGCAATGTCTTAGTATCTTGGAGCTCTTTGGCAAAAAATGAAAAAAAAGGTATCTTGGAGCTACTTTTGAGATCTTCTGGGAAATGGATTTGATAAATTAGTCCTGGGGAAATATTTTTATCTTAACCTGATGCTTCTCTCTCTTTACCTGCACGGCATATTAAATTACCGAGGGAGATTGCTTCATATACAGTGGAGATAGAAAAATAGCATACTGTCTTATATCTCATTTTCGTCGCAAGATATCTGTCATATGAGTTGATTTTTTATGCCTAAGATAAATAGCATTCCTTATTTAACGGAGGCAAGTTCCTACCACGCTGATATCGTCCTCCTTTTAGGTCTTGCCCCTTTCCCTCTTCTATTCATTCTTGGTGTTTGATGCTACAGGTGTAGCTTGTTAATATGGTTTTTTTCTTAAACTTAATTCTGTAGGAAGGATATTGGGTTTCAAACCGTACGTCAATGCCAAACTACTGTTCAAGGACGATACTTTCTTTCTGATGACAACGGTGAGGATTTCTTTCTTCGGTCACATCGATCTCCGTATGATATTAATACCTTGCTGCGACAATCATCGTCAATATGTGATGTAACATACACCCACATATCAGATAAAAAAAAAAATTCATGTTTTGTGGCTTTTAAAAGTGATCTTGAGAAATCTCAAAGGGCTCAAAAGGAATATGTGGATCAAAAACTTCAAGAATTGTAGGAGTATATGAATAGTAAGTTTGATGAAGCCTTAAGGACTCTCAAATGTTTAGGCCATTAAAGGGGCATGGAGATAACTTTTTCAAGATAGGATTATGATATTGTCAAGGCAAAAGAGAATGGCACCTTCATTAAAAAGCCTTCACCTATGTCAGTTATACCAAAAAAAATATACTAACAGCACTAGTGGTCCTGAAATTGGAAGCTTAGATTTGGAAGCATTCAAGGCAGTAGCTAAGGCTAGCACAAATGTCATTAAGAAACAAGAGAATGATGCTGATTTAGAAGAAATCTCCATGAAATATGAAGGCATGAGTCTTGAATTGAATCAAGGTTTCACATTGGTGGCCAAAGATCTTGAGTCATAAGCCTTAGAGATTTACCAAGTTGGGGATCTTGACAAGAGGAGTGTTCAACTTTGTCAAAGTCCTGCTTCCGGTCATCCATGTGCTACACCATTTGCTACAACTATCTTGTTCATTGGGAAGGTTTTCCAAATCACTATGATTACATTGCTTACTCTCCACATGGTCTCATTTTCCACTACCTTGAATGTTGGAAAGGATCTCCAAATTAGCTGCTACTGGGAGGAATTCCTTGCATCGCATTCTAGTGGAGTTACATCAATTTTTTTTTTAAACTCTCCGAAGGAGAGTTCCATCAAGAAATGATGAAATATTAGAATTAATATATTTTGAAGAAACCTTCTATAGGAAGAAACCTATGCTAGCTTATGATCATTGTATTTTGCTTGTAAGAAAGCTATCTTGGAAGAAGTAAGTTACTTTTGTGTTATTTAATACTTTTGTAAAGAGGAAGATCTGAACATTAACTTTATTTAGCTAAGTTATTAAGGTTTCCTTCATAGGTAGGAAAGTTTAGTTTAAATAGATTAGGCTTTGCTCTTGTAAGGTAAACTTGATGAATGAATATGTGATTGAGTATTCAGATAGCTTCACCCTCTCTCTTTTGTCTCCCCCCCCCTTTTCCTCTTCTTTCTCTGTTTGCCCTCTCCCTTCTCTGTTTCTGCCTCTAATCTCTCCCTCCTTATTTCTGGTTTCTCTCTACTCTCTCCCTCTGTCCTGCACTGTGCAAGTGTGTGTGTGTGTTACATCAATATGTCAAGCAAGTTCTTTAAATTTCTTGCATCAGTGTCTGGTTGCTTATGAGTTTTGACCGATCTTTATCCATTATGCACCAGCTTTTTTCTTAATATACTGATATTGTATGCTACTAAACATGGAATCAGATGATTGATGAATGCGTCATCAACTGTGTAGTCTTTTAATTTCTGCTTATATGTCAAGTTTGCTCATCTGCTGAATACATATCATAACTAGATTTCAACTTGGGCTTTTTTACATAGTTTTGTGTTCAATAGCAACACGAAACTCATTACTTTTGTTATTTGAATGATCTGCTTGATTATGTCTTGCATGGCATGTACTGTTATCCTTCCGTAACTGAGTTTTTGAATTTGTAGGTTACGTGTGTAATGGTCTATCTGTCGATTCACAGTCTCGCTGCTGTCCTGAAATTGGGGAGAAATTCTCTTGTCAGTAAGTTCTTCTCAAAATATGTTGCAAACTGCTTACTTTCATGAGAATTGCCTACTAGTAGCATGCTGTTGCTATTATTTGCAGTGGATGCAATCTTCTTTCGCATTGTTGCAACTCTTATGAATATTGTGTTTCATGCTGCTTGAATCCTTCACGGGTAATTCCTTACATGCTAGTCTCTTCCTGTCTTAGTTTCAATTTTTGGTTGCATTCCCTTGTTGCAATTGAAGAAAGGAGTAAGTGTGGGTGGACTTTGTTGAACAGACAAATAAGGAAGATGCATTGAAGGTGAAGATTGCGAAGCCAGCCTCTGCAAGTAAAGTTTCTATAACCTTTTCTTGAAAGAGCATTGGGGTGATTATCTCACTTTGATATTTGCTTTGACCAGTGAGATATTTATTATAATAGTACTGCATGCAGTCCTTAATAAGCATAAGCGATTAGATGTTTTTCACTTCAGTTTTTTTATTAGGTTGTTTGGCAATTCCCAAGATTCTTATAAACCGTATATATGTTTTTTTTTTTTTAAAAAAAAACATTTACTCCCATTTGATAATTGGCAGGGACTTATGCAAGTGTTTTTGACTTCTGTGCTGGGAGATGCCGTCATAGTTCTGAGAGTGTGGTAAGTATGCTTCTGTGATCCTGCTATTGAGCTGTTGACGTATTCAAATCTTGAAGTTGCACGTTGATTTCTTGTAATCCTCTTATTCTTTGTGACAAAAGTGTGTGAAGGCCCTGCAATTAAGTCTAGTTTTGGGTATTCATGAGGAAAGAGTTTACTGTGTTCTGCGTTTCACAATCAGTTTTAGCAGTTTATTATAGAGTTCATTAAATTGTGTTATTTGATATTCTCACAAATTGTAATTACCAGGGTATGTGAACCTACTTTTGGACATGCATGCCTAAATGAAGTCAGAAAATGGTTATTAGTGTTCGAGGCATGTGAAAAAATAATAGGATTCATATGACTATAAAATTTTGAAGTGATTGAAGAATAACAGATGTCATCCTTTATAAACAAGCTTTCTGCATCTTTTGCTTGCAACACAAATATCTAATAAGGAATAACAACAATAACAACAACAAAAGCCTTGTACCACTAAGAGGGGTTGACTATATGGATCACACAACACAATTGTGCTCCATCCAAAACAAATTCTTCCGATAAGCCATTAACCTAGAGAAAAAATGGAAATAATCTGACACTGAATGTTTTGATAGTTTTTGGCTGTTTAATATCAAAATTATATTTCAGGTTCATGAAAATGCCTATCTCAGTGACTTCCATCACTGTTTTCTTCTGCCATCAAACTCCTCCGGTAAGTCTACAGTAGAATCTGTAATATTTGCTGGTACCTTGTTGTGTTGGGTTGCTTACATCTTGACCTACGAAGTTGCAGATTTAATTTTATCACCTACAATTAACTAACATTAGAAACCTCTTCTATCCACTAGTACAGAGAGACAAAGGATATACATGAACAGCAATATGGTTAATTAATAAATTCTTGGGAGAAGTAAAAGCTTTCTATCCTTAAATTTTTTAGTTGGATTGTTCTTTGCAATTTACCTTGGAATACATTGAATTTTTGAATACATCACCTGTGCAACTGTTAGATTATTGCTTGACTGATGTAGTTAATAACTTAGAAAATGGGTTCCAAAGCCGAGTTGTAAAAAGGAAGTGGCTTAAATTAAAGATTCTTTTGGTAGAGGGGCAATGAGGGGGAAGGGAGGAGAGGATTGCATTAGATAACATGCCAAGACAAGGTCCAAATAGTATTGCTTGTTTTTCTTGTCCTCCCTTCCTCTCGTTTCTAGTTCTACAACCATTTCCAAAGTGGAGTCTGTTAAGTGGAATTAGTTTGGTACACCTTTTGAGGATTCGAGAGACGAAAATGTTTAGCGAAACTTTCAGAATGCCAATTGAAGAAATCTTTTTTTGGCTTTTTTAATTTTGCAGATTCAATTTATATCCTAGTTTTGTGATGAAAGGCTTTTTAATGTCTTACTACAAATATACCATTTTGTGCATTTTTCAGCTATTCACACACACACACACACATATTAAATGTTCTTTCTCCATGTTTTTATTTAAGCTGGGATAAATAGCATGCTTCCAGAGGCAAAATTGAATGGCATTAATGTTGTTGTTGGAAGGTAATTTTTAGATTTGTTTTTTCGGTGCCATTCAGTTTAATTCTTGCTGCTTCTTGATGTAACTTCATATCACTTGTTTGACAGGCAAGGTGAATCATGCGATTCTATTTGCAAGTCAAGAGGACAATCGTGTGTCCCAAATAAGCTTGTGGTGCTTAACCAATGTGACATGTAAGTGGAGCTGGAACTTTACATTTTAAATTTTGTTGTGGATATACTTTGACTATATCCTTTACTCTGTATTTTATCTGCACTGTACTTGAGGTGTCTAATGCATTTATTTGGATTCTGTGGTTTTAATTTATACGAGGCTGTATCTACCGTCATAAGGATAGGCAATTTTCAATTTTAAATTGGACAAATATCTCCAATCCCTTCTGTTGATAGTACCACCATGCCATGGATGATGCATTAAACAAAGAAGGAATGTCATACAAGCATGGAGATACTTGTATCTTTTCTTTTGCTATAATGCTGTTGTAGATTATTCTTAATATTTTTGGCAGCATGCAGAAATATATGACTTGCAAGGGATCTTGCTTAGCAAGTGCAGGAACAGATCAACCTGCTGAAGTCGTTCATGATGCTCCAAAGCATTTGGTAATAATTGAATTCTGCTCCAAAATTTGGTGTTTTGAATTAGATTGATGCCTGATATATGTCAAGAAGCTAGTTAGGCTGCAGAAACAGACAAGAACGGTGCAGTCATAGATAATTTATATGTTTATATAACATGGCTTAAAATGGTATAGTCCTGATGTCATTAAATGCTTATTTTACATTTTACTAAATGCGGTAATTGATGGATTATTTGAAACTGATAATTTCCTTGACTTTGTGGATATTGAACCGTACTATTTTGTTGTTAAGAGCTTTTTCAATAGTAATGTTTGTGTTTGGTGCATCCCATGTGCTGCCTTAGATCAGTGCAATTTCTATCCCCCCCGTTCTAATTGGTTTGTGGCTGAAGAACATTATAGGAGTAGTTTATTTGGCTATGTACTAGTCTTCCTCTTCCTTTCTTCCTTTTTGGTGAACCATTTACTGACTCGGACAAGTAAATTGGCTGCGTTGTGAAATTTATAATGCCCTGCTGGTTTTGATTTATCTCACAACTTAGCATTGATTGGTGGCGTCCATTTAAAGTTGAATGGCCGAATGGCCATGTGAGAATAACTATTTTGGCATGTTGCATTTTTTCCCCCGCTGCTTGGGTAAGAGACATGCAATGCTCTGATTTAAGAATTTTTTACACATTAGGTTAAATTTGTGCTCGTTACGGTGTCACCTGACATTTGCCTAAAATCAATCATTTTGTTTAATTTGGTCCGTCAATGGAAATTAAAGGATCTGGGCCTTTTATGTAGAACTTTATCTAGAATCATTGAGCATGCATAAGCAGGAACATACACGTGCCAAATATTGATTTATTTTGCACTGACAAAACGCAAATTGTTTCAAGATTATGAAAACAAGGCGTAACTTGTATAAAGCGGGACGGACTGTATTAGTCAATATTCTTTTCCTGTTATTTTTAGAATCCAGGATCATGTTTGTACACTCAAGCACAATCTACGCTTTCTTGTGATGGCGCACATCAGTATACAAGGAGACTGTGCCCCTGTGCATAGTGTAAACACCTGGTAAGTCATGGAAATTCCTGCAATATAATCAAGTTTTGGTAAAAGAAACTATTGAACAGCAAAAACTGCATGAATATTTGAATGCTACAGGTGCTATAAGCTATAAAATTCTTTTGTACTGGAAACTATGGTCTAGGCATGCATGGCTTGCGTTGTTTTGAAATAAAATTTTGCTCTTTGCTCTGTGGTTTATTGTATATTGCAGGGCGGGAGGAGTTGGCATCCAGTTTCTGCCATGGGTCATGATCTAAGAATGCCTTGTTATCAGCTATGATAAATTATTTATATATTCTCTTCAGCGATAGTTCTGGGGCTGTTATAAGGTTTTCAACGTGGGGGAAAAAGAAATACAACAGCAGGGTAGAAGGTTTTCATTGTACCTATAATCAGTTTTGCAAATCATCATCTGGTTTATATTGTATCTGACCCATTCGGAAACCTTACAACATGGCAAAGCACTATAATGGGTAGAAGGCGGCTTCGTGTTTTGATGTTACCACCAAGGCACCAACGGAGGTAACTCCGAGTACGTCTGTGTTGCTCTTGAATAGGGATGGGAAGAAGCCCATTTATGGATCATGACTGAAATGTATTTTATTTTGAACATTAGGGATCATGTCTGTGAGTCGCAAATGAAAATTAAGATGGGAGAGAGAGCTGTGGATCCCCCACTTGCCACGGCACTCATCGCCCTATCATCGGTAACGTAGGGTTCAATAACAACACAAATTAGCATCGTCATAATAACAACAGTGAAAAAAAAAAAAAAAACAAGAAGGCAGGCTTCACGCCTTGTTTCCACTACTAGACTCCATAAAAGGGGAGAAAAGGTATGGATGCCCTGCGCTAAAGGACGAAGAAAGGCATTTTGAATGATGAAGACAAAAAGGAGGGGGGAAATGATGAAGGCAAAAAGGAGGGGGGAAGGTACAATGTAGGAACAGCTTTCATTGATAAATAAATACACATGGATAACCCAAGTTATGTGAATTTAATCTGTGTGCGCTTTAGAGGGTACAGCGCCCCTTCACAAGCAATCAGAAGCTATAGTCTGGTTTGAAGATTCTCTTGGTGAATGGCTTTGACACGGCCTCCTTATCCTTGACTCCGCCGGCTAACCCATTATCACTCGCCGTGTCCTCAACGATGTCTTGTTCCTCTGCACGGAAGGCCGGATGGCTGAGAATGCTGCCAAGCAACTGCGTGCCTCTCAAGGCATTTGTGAGAGGCAAATGACCCTCAGGGGTGTCGTCATTGAGTTCCCACATGAACTCGGTGGGGAAAGACCTGTAATTGTATTGTTCCACCTCGGTGTCAAGCTTCTTCATCCAACCGAGTTTGAGGAAGAACTTGGTGAAGTCCCTCTCTGTTTTCTCAAATATCCTCTTCTGCACACTGTACCCGAACTTGTTATCGCTGTACTGCCTCCAGAGTTCATCTATGGTTTTGAGGTCAGTTTCAGAGATAAATTGGACCTCGGAGAAGAAGACATAGCCACGCTTCTGAGCAGCGTCGCCGGCGAGGACGATGATGAGGCGGCGGGTCTCTTCGTCGGCCTGGCGGAAGTCAGAGGCGGCGAGGTGGTGGCGGAGGAGGTCGAAGGAGACGGTTTGAGAAGGGGAAGTGGAGGAGGAGGTGAAGGGGGAGACAGAGAAGGCGAGGGAGGAGGAGGGGGAAGAGGAAGAGGAGAGAGAGGCGTTAGGGTTGAAGGCGATGGATTTGGGAAAGAGAGGGAAGGAGAGAACGGAGGAGGGATGGCGGCGGTTGGGGAGAGAATGGTGGTGGTGAGGGTGGCGGATGGAGGGGAGGGAATTGGTGGAAGCCATGCGATGTGAAGCCAAGCGGATGGATGAGAGTGGGAGTGAGGGAGTGAGATAAGGAATATGTGAAGAGGGAGAAGCAAGGGCTCATCAAAAGCAATATAATGCCTCCTTTTCATTGGCTCCCTTCGGGTGAGGTTAGATCCCCCCCCCCCTCTCCCTTTTTCTTCTCTCTTTTCTCTCTGCCTGTCCCTTTCGCCTTTATTAAATCGCTATTTTTCTTCTTTTTTCGGTTTCCTCCTCACTTCAACTGCAACTTGGAAAGTAGACAACTTCAATAGCGATAGTTAAATATCTTAAAAAGTATTTTTTAAAAAAAATTGATAAGTCAGATATTTTTTTTTTTGATAAATTAAGTCAGATATTTCATATGCATAAAAACATTCAAACTGAGTGAACCAAACCATATAGCTCTGGCTTGATCACACCGCAAGGAAATACACGTCAATGTCTTGCTAGAATGCATCCACGTTTCATAGAATGGTACTTTCCATAATTCGTGTCATGCGGCAAAAGTAACCGACTGCTGCAAATGGATATCGTTGTGTGTGGCCTTCACCGTTTGGACTCTTCAAATGACAGTCACAGTGTGAATCCTATATCTTTTTGTAGATTTGTGGTAGGGTGCTGCAACCACCTCCAAACCGTTGGACTCCTCGAAAATTCGTGATTCGGAGATCATTTGTTATTCCGTGCTTTGTTTTCTTTAAATCAACTAAAGATATCAAATTTGAATCCACTTAATTCACTCGAGGAAGTTAAAAAAAAAAGTCTTAATATTCGAGGAAGTTACAAAAAGTCTTAATATGTTTTTATGATATTGAAATTTTAGATTAATGATAAAATTCTTTTCTAATGTTTAACAACTAAAACATGCGCGACAGACGCGACGCCCTCATGGGTCAGTTTCTGTCTTGTAAACTGAAGGTGTGTAGTGCGATCCGGCGTGGGGGCATGGCGTTTTGTTTTTCAAATATTGAATGGATGATAGTATGATATTGCAGAGCCATTCAATCCAAACACTAAAATCAGAGTCGCTTTGGTGTCAGTTACGTTAACAATCTTGCTACTCGAAAAATTTTCCAAATACTCAATTAACGTCAAGTTTTTACTTTTTGCAGCGTCTCATCCCATGATCTATGTAAATGAAAAGTAATTGAGAATTACCAACAACAACGACCCGGATACAGACACCATATACACACGATGTGCTTGGCAATTGAGAATTGAATCTCAAAAGTTTTGTCCCTCCTTCGTCTCAGAAGTTGTGCTGCAAAAACAGCCTCTCTTGAGGCGAAGCAGGTCCAATCTCTTCTTCAAGACTCCTCAAAACGTCACCACCACCCACGTTTCCTAAGTTCTTCACTTCTGGGTTCTTCCCATCCACATCCCCCTCCGACACCGACGACTTCCTTCTCTGAGAAGAAGCAACACTTGGAAAAGTTATCCACGATGGTGCTCTGAACTCGAAACCTTGATCCTCAGCTTCTCCCACGTCCGTTTCTGAAGCTGACTTGTTGGAGGATCTTTGAGACGATTTCTTGTGTAATCTGTTACTTCCCAACACCACCTCGGTCGGCAAAATTGGCTGCTCGTTGCTTGGGCTACCCATTAGCTGCGCAAGGGCTCGCTCCAAAGCAGTTGTCACTTTGTCCATTGATGGCCTCTCTTTCCCTCTCATCCTCACGCATTTACAGGCCACGTTTGCGATCCTTTTCAAGGCTTCGAGATTAGGCGGCTGTTTTAGGACGGGGTCTAAAATTGCAGTGACATCTCCTGCCTTGATCAAAGGCACTGCCCATTCAACTATGTTACCTTCTTCGTATTGCATGTCAATGGCTTTTCTGCCGCTCAGAATTTCCAAGAGCAGCACGCCAAAGCTATATACATCAGATTTTGTGGTAAGATAGTGGAGTCTGTAATATTCAGGATCAAGATAGCCAAGCGTCCCGGCAGGTAGTTCAGCCAAAGGGGAGCTACTATCCGCAGGACCCAGTAATGACAAGCCAAAATCAGAAACTCTAGCATTGTGTTCTTCATCAATGAGGATGTTTGAAGATTTGATGTCTCTGTGAATCACAGGTGGGCAGGCATAGCCATGTAAATATTCAATTCCTCTAGCTGCTTGAACTGCAATTGTCACCCTTCTAACCCAATCCAACTGCTCTTTGGAAGCCTTGTTTTTCCCATGGAGATGTTGGTGCAAAGAGCCATGTGCCATGAACTCATAAACAAGAAGCCTTTCTCCACCTTCTTCGCAGTACCCTAGCAGGTTGAGTAAATGGGCATGGTTCAACCTGGAAAGTAAGTCAAGTTCTGTATGAAACTCCTTGGAATTCTTCTGCATGTTGGGAGACATTATGGCCCTTTTAACTGCTACAGCAGTCCCATCTTTCAGTACTCCTTTGAATACACACGAAAAGCTTCCTTTACCAACGAGGGATTCTTCTTTGAACCCACCCGTTGCTCTTTCAAGTTCCTCATATGTAAATGTTTGAGCCCTCCTTATCTTGAGCTCCTCTAGATCTGGACCGATCTTGCTGTTCTCTTTTTGGAGGGAAGAATTGCTACCTTGAAGTTTCTTCACGTTTGGTCCTTCTATGGAACACTGGCACCCCCGTAGCTTGTACCGAACATATAAAACAGAAGTTAAGGTCACAAGACTGACAAAGAAGACAGCAAAAGCAATCTCGGCAATCATCACTGGCAACTGCAAAGACCAAAATTTCTCATCTTTCTTTCCCATGGTAGCATTGGAATCTGAAGAAGAGCAATTGAAGAAGCATTCAGGGGAGGAACAATTAGAACAATTGTATTCACATCGTCTGTCGGATGTAGAATTGCACTCACTTTTCTGGCACATGTCAGCAGGACAAGCTCCGCTGCATGGCATGCAAAAGTGAGATTCCGAGGACTTGCAAAGACCGTTTTGCTGTTCAACTTCATAGAAACCAGGAGGACATGGATTAGGCTGGCATAGTCCAGGAGAGACAGCAAATGGTAGAGAAGTAGGGAAGCCAACACCCCAACAGGAAGGAAGAAGAGATCTCTGAGCAAGTATTCCACAAGTAAAATAATTTCCAGCAGCAATCTCGAATACCTTAATCCCACTAGGAACTGGGGTGCTTCCCTTGATAGTAAAACCCCAGCAAATCACCCCATGATCATAAGTTTTGATGCCACAAGCATGAAATCTTCCTCCCACAACAGAGAGCATAGGTTCATTTGGAGCCAAATCAACGTTGCCTTGACCAGAACGTTTCACCACAATTTCTTCCTCAATGCTCAAGCTCCTTCCCCAGCATATAGTTCTGGAATTCACCCCTTCTAAAATTCCACACACATGAAACCCCCCTGCAGAAATCTTCTGGAACTTCTTATCTTTAGGAACTAAACTGATTACTCTGCTGCTAGTATCATCGCCCCAGCAGAATACGGTTCTGTTCTGGGAAAATAAACCACAGTTGAATTCAGAGCCTGCCGAGATGGATTGAATCTGGCCATCAAAAACATAGTTTTGGGTCATGTTGTAACCCCAACAATCGACAAGAGAAATGTTTCTATGTCTTCCGGTCAAGGGTTTCCTCAATCCACAAACATGATAATCTCCGGCACTGATTTCTAGATACTCTGCTCCTTTCGTCATAGGCTGCGGAACTCCCATTTCGATATAGCCACTGCTACCCCAACAGTAAGGTTGGAAAGTATCCATTAGGAGTCCGCAAACAAAGCCATCACCTGCTGTTAGACCCAGAAGTGGGAAATGGGTTGGTATTCCATAGACTATGGCTGAGTTTGATCCGTAACAGTTCACAGTATGAGACCCATCTGATCTCAGACCACAAAAGACAGAACCTTTTTCACCGTAAGAGATAGCAATGGAAGACATGGAACCCAGACCCCAAACAGACCAGCATGAACACGATAAAAAAACTGAAAGAGCAAAGAAAGTCCGAGGTGGCCATGGGTTCGCATTCAGAAAAGAGATCAAGAGATGTCTTACGGAGAATCCCATGCTATAGAAGAGGTGGAACCTTCACCGACGGTATATACTGCTCACTAAGAAACCCAGTTTAGAATGCAATCCAGATGAGAAAACCATGCTTCTCACTTCAGTGTCAAAAGAAAACGTACCATCAGAAAATCTCCAGTAATTTCAACGATTCTGAAAAGAATACAGAAATGGACATTATCTGGATCATCAATTGGATCCCTATACACATTCAGATTTTGTGGAGTCTTCATTAAGTTGCATGGTATGAAGGCGGAGAGGTGGATTGATTGAAAGGAACTCAAAGAGAAAGATGGGTCGGAGAAGGTAGTTGTGGTTGCAGACCATTGCTGTTGCAGGCAAGAAAACGGGGCGAGAGAGAGAGAGCATTGAATGGCACAAACTGCTGTTTCTATGTATGGACAGAGCGTAGGTGTAGGCATTAAATGAGAAGTAAATGCAGTTTGATCATTTCATGCCGGATCTCTGCACATTGATCCACCAGTCCCTAATTTTATTACTATATACTGCGAAAGTGGCACGGCTTGCTTCTGGGCTCTCACTTCTCACACACAACAACACAACATTTGCGTCCCTACTTTCTTCATTTTAAATTCTTCCTCGCTCCCTTGACCATGGACGTACTACACACTCATATCCTACTGTTATTTTATTTCTGTTTCCCGAAGTTGGTGTGTGATGACGTTTTTTTCCGTTATACTTATTCCAACGCCATGTAAACGTTCTTCCTTTTTCAATCGTTTAATCGCGCGTTTCTATCTTTTTTCCTTATTGCCATGTATTCATCACTCTAATGATTCTTCACAGAAATATATTAGTAGAAAATAAATGCCATGTAACTTTGAAGGATCCCTGATTTGGATGATGGACATAGGATAAATAATGATCCGTGAACGTCCAAAATATTCATTAACTAACTGATAACACTTTACTGGCAGAGAGAAAACAGGACCAAAAATAGTAAAGGTAAGCACATGTATTAAATGATCATCAATTGCTTATGTATGTAAAAATAGTATTACCTTCACGATATGGGTAGCGACATGTCTCCCCCTAGGCAGGGACAGAAGCTGCTCTGGCTCCACTAGTTTATACTAGACCATAGTTTCATCAATCACAATGGAACACGGTGAAGAAACCCACTTTTTTCTACCACCTAAAGAAGAGAGAGGCTCGAATTGATGTTGACAAATGGCTTCAATGGGCTTCGAGTTCCCGCAAACGGGCCATTAAAACCACATTAATATGCATAAGTTCCCGCAAACGGGTCATAAGTTCCTTGGAGTGATGCTCCACTATATGCGGAAGCTTCATATTAAATCTTGATTTACTATTGAAATTGATGGGTGAATAAGCAGGGAACAGGCAATAGAGACCATAACTGAGAGCGGGGGAACCTAACGTTGTCGTTGTGTTTGCTGCGTGGGAATTACAATGAAAGGAAATATTTTCAACGGACTTTATAATAATCTCAATGGCTCCCACTGAAAGACAAGATAAAATATTTTCGATTTTTTAAAGTTTCTTTCCTTTTTATATTAATTATATTTTATTTCAAGAGAATATTTTTATTTGGAATTATTTTAAATTACTTTTTTTCTACATTGATGCCAAAAATCTTAACTTGAATTTTGACTTATACATGCTTATTAGGGCAGTTTATTTTATAACTAATATTTTAATTTAAAGGGTAATTTGGTCAATTGAAATTATATCTCTTTCGTTCCCATCATATTTCTAGCATACCAAATATGGTAATGCGAAAGCATTCCTGGTTTGTGTAAAGCATGTCAAACAAGGTAACATGATTGCTATTCTTATTGATATGGTTGCTTTACAATCCATTCCAGCACACCAATCATACGTAACCTTCCAGGCTTGCCCCGTGGCACTGGAAAAGTGGCCTCTCCTCTGCGGTGACGGAGTGGTGGTTTGCTTGATATGAAAATGTACGTCTATGTTGCTACATCGTTGAGGCACGTGACTTACGCGTGATAATCCAGAATCGCACATGCTTAGGGACGTTTCTTCAATTACATTCATTCTCTGCTAGATCCTCACTGCTTCATTTCACTGTTCGTGCCATATTTTCGGGATTTGTTTCCCCCCCTCATTCCATGTCGCTTCTCCCAATTTATTCCTCGTGTTGGGGCGACGTCAATTCCCTCCTTCTTCGGCCCCTCCCTTGATGGGCCAACCATTTAACGGTTCCAATATTTTCTTTTTAGTAAGGATATTATTTAATTCGTCAAAATTCATAATCTTTAATTATTATTGTTCCCTTCAGAGTCCGCAAACACTTCTTCATGAGACCATTTTTTTAATAATTAAATTGATAATTTCATCTTTAAAACTTGAATAGAGCATTGATTTGTTGAGTGGAGATTTTTTTTGGGCCAACTAAGTGGAGGTTTAAATAGTCCAAACCTCTCTGTATCTTCGATAAAAGCACCATATAAGTCTAAGTAAAGCTATTTGTTTCCGGAGATCTCTGTATGTTTTGAAGGTAAAAGATATTGCATGATTTTGGTACAGCTTAGGAGGGTTTTGCATAATTTTGCTCAAAATCTACAAAATCGCAAGTAGAAATTTAGTGACAGAATCGTTCCAGAACAGACGAGGCTGCAGAACGAAGCCAAGAAGACAGCAACAAGATCAAACTGTGATTGGAATATGAGCTGTTTGTATAAATTTCTCATCTACGCACGCTTCAAGCATAAGTTAAATTCTGAAGTGATTATGACCCATCTAAGCAAAAAGATGGGTGGCTGATTTACGAGGAAAAATAATAGAATGATGAGAGACAAATATCTCAGCCCCTATCTTACAACCTGAATACAAGTGGTTCAATTTCATGGATTACTAATCTCAACGCACGTGCCGCTTTGCCCAGATGCTTCTCGAAACTGGGATAGAAAGAGGGTCAGTGGCAGTTCATACCTGCTGAAAGTCACTTTCCCACTTCGGAAACAGAACGTTACAACTCTACCAGAAGTCGGCAAACAATGCCAACAAATGCGGCTGCAGGCTCCTTATGAACTCACTGGAAAACCAAAAAACAAACCTTAAGACATAAAAAAGTCATTGAGCAAAGCATTATGTTGTCCATGAATAACATGGACACGCTTGTGTGGGTAAGGGTGCAAAGTGGCCAACATAGCGTTTCCTAGTAAGCGAAAAGAAAGTCATCAGCCTATTAGAACAGTCAACAATGAAAAACCACAACAGCTCTTGAAGGCAAGCCTACATTTGAATTTTAAGAAGCAAAGTACAGTAACAACAATTTTGGAGCCACAATATAATCATTAGAATTTGATGCATTCTCTCATCATTATTTAAGACATTGAACACTGAAATTAAACTGAATTTGAATGTATTCTTGTTTACCCAAAAAAAAAAAAAACTGAAGGTGTTCTTTGTTTTCAGGTTCTGGTTTCATTTTCTAAAAGAATCCATTTTAAATGCTGGAATCATACATCAGAAAAAAGCTAATGCCCCTTGCACTTGCAGATTAGGCGTATGGATCTTCTAGGCGCCTTCATGCTTCTTAATATCCTTGCAAAAGGTTCGGCACCGTAACCTTGAACCTTGGAATCTTTCCGTTTCCTATTTCTCAAAAGCTCCACTTTAGAATCCTGATCATCAGACACTGGACCAGACTTCTTGAGAGGGTCATCAAACTGTGAACATCTGAAAGAATTAGGCAAACATAAGCTCCAATGAATTCATAAATGCCAAAATCTCATTATAAAATGCTGTTGAGAAGAGGGATTACTCTGAACTCTCCCTTCCATCAACAGTCTTGCCCAGCTCCTGCAAACGATAGTTATTTCAAATATTACACAAGTAAATTCACAAGAAAGAAGACAAATACGAGGCACTTTGTGAGCAACAAGCCAACAAGCTTGCTGGTGATCACCAGACAAGAACTGTTTTGTTTGCAAATATTTAAATAATTTTGTTCTTTTCCTTCCCTGAACACATGTCCTGTCACCTCCTCCAACATAACATACACAAACATGCCCAAGTCAAAAGTTCTTTTCACAGCAGCTGGAGTGGATCAACACAGTGGACCACTCAAAGAAATGAAGAACAACGCATTCATAATCAACTAACAAGATAATGAAATCATGCAAGAGGTCAAACTTTAAGATGCCAAAATCATTACAAGCCATGTTGTGAAAACTAAACTGACTTAAATAAAACCCTTGTTGGATTTGACAAATCTCAAAATCTGACTTCAAGAGGCAGAATGATTTAGGCAACGGTAATTATTATTTGATAGTATCAATCATGAGATGATGAGATTCATTACACATTTCTTTTACCTACTGGTGCACTTCACATCCTTCATTGGTTGATTGCACATATGATATGAGTTAGCCTAAGTAGCATGAAAAGGAAGTTTACAGTGCACTACAGTATAATTTATACTATATCAGTTTAATGCAATCTTCTGCAGACATAACCTGCCATTCTCAGCGTAGAGATCAATAGCAAAAACTTCTTAATTCTTTTAAAGGTACCAAAAAGTTTTATCCGTAAAATACACTGATATATTACAACACGAAGTGCCAATTTGCAAGTATAGAAATTTTCAATCACACCAACTCTTCTGCACTTTTGGAAGAAACTTGCCCCCTCCCTCAAGTCTTCTAGACAAAAGGAGTGAGTGGGCGAGGGGGAGGAGGGGAAAAAAGAATACATACATCTGGAAAGCTAGAGAAAGCACTATACCCATTCTTCAGAAAGTAGAAAATTGTTTCCATTGGTATCCAGATTAAACTTGCTTGAATTGACAAGTTCACCCGGTTCTGCGTATGACATCTTCTTTGGATTCATTAAATTCAGAGTTCCATCATTTTCACAAAGTGAAGCTGAAGCATGTTTATGACAGCTAGCAACTTCTGAAATTTGAAGATCTGCTGAACTGCTTACTGAAACTCCAGGACATGCAACACCAGGGATCACAAAGCAAGAACCATTTAGCTGAGTAAAGTCTTCAGAAATTTCATTACCAGGTTTTGAATTTTGACGCTCCAGTTTGTTGGGATCTGACAGCGAGTTGCCGAAAGAACTACACATTGACTTGATAAATGCAGTACCCGCATCTTTATATGCATCTCTAGACCAAGATTCAGATCCAGACATAAAATTGTTGTGCGCACCATAACCTAGTTCAGCAGAGACAGTTGATTGGCCTTCTTTTGAGTTGTCTACCATGTTTGCAGTCAGAGCTGTGACAATTGTTTCATTATACTTTAATTTATCTTCAACATTTCTAGTGATGCTGAATGGTTTTAATGTATGAGAAATCAAAGAACTGTCACCTATATCCCGATGATCTGACCCGGTAACATCATTTGTCATTTTGAAGCTTGGTTGAGATTTGTTCTGTCTTCTATGGATTTCAATTGGGTTGGACTTCATATTTTGCAAAAAGGAACTTTTTCTTTCTGTAGAACTCTCTCCTAAGCAACCAAGATCCTGCCAAAAACTCCAGGATTCATTTTGATGCAAATTCTCAGTAATGCAAACCTCTTTTTTAAACCTGTTAGTCCAATCAGAAGGGGATGAATTTAAATTAACATGAAGATTAATTCCCTCGTCTGACCAGACATAGAACTCAAAAGAAGAGGGAGGAATCTCTGTAGTTGTTTTTAGTGAAGCTAAATCTTTCGGCACTGTACAGTCTTTAGTTATGTCGGGATGACTATCAGAGCTGCTTCTTCTTCTTCTAGGCAATTTCTTCAAAGCTTTTCGTTTCATTGTATGCCAAAACCTTCCTGCATGTGCAGAACATGATTACTTGAACTTGAGCACATATTATTGCGGAAAGATAGCAAAAGTGCAATTATTAATAAAGCAGTTCTCCATCTTAAAGTATCCATATCTTCAACCACTTATATATATGTGTGTGTGTGTGTGTGTGCCTGGCAATAGGAGCGCCATATATTCTCTAAGGTATGTTATGTATAATTCATGTTGATCTCTGACATAGTTTTTATAATCCGAACACTAACTTGAACCGTTCAATTTAATATCATACTAATCCTTTTCAGGATTTTCCTCTCAAGAACAAAAGATGAAGCAATTGACATCTGCTAAAGAAGAATTCTACCACCTTGTACAGATTGTTTCTTAATCTTCGTAAGATACAAGAAAAAAGTTCAATTGACGAATTCATAAATTTTAAGTGAAATGTGAGGGACATTTATACAAGGTAATCTGATCGGTGAGTAGTAAACACATTTTAAATCAGACAGTATTAAACTTCCTTGATTCTGGATAGATTTACACTTCGAAGAAATCAGATACCTAGGCAGTGAAAACACATAATCAAGTGAAGATTATCTACAGTCTAGAATGAAAACTCTATAATCTCTTAGAAAACATCAACATTTCCAAGCGCCATAAAACAGAAGCGTTGAGACATTTTCAAGTAACTATTACAGGAGTGAGTGTTAATACTAACCTCCCCGCAAAATTTTGATTAATAGAGTGACCTCCCAGTGAATATTAATAGAAACAATTTCCACACTCCAAATATTACAGAGTTGAAGCTTTGCTGAGCACTGCTATGTTTGTTGTCATCTCTTTTATCTCATATCCATACCATAGCCCCAACAGTACATAAAGTATTCCGACATTTTAGTCTTTTCTACAATCTGGATGGTCACTTTCCTGGAATTGGCAACTTGCCGTCCCAATCGATGTTGAAGAACCAAGCTATTTCAAGTAATTTCTTTTCTAGAAGCTTAGAGAGGTGAATGCGTTAAAAGATATAAATCAATATATTAAGATTTCAGCATAAATGGTTCATCGGCATGCTACCATAGTTTTTGTAACTAGGTCGTCCAAAATTTTATTCTCACAAGCTCATCGACATCATGTTAAGTATTCGAGCCAATTTTAGCCAGAAACTAATTTTAATATCCTAACAAATTTGCCTAGTGCTGGGAACAAAATGTGGTGAGAGAAGCTACATCATCAGGACTTCCAAGCCAACCTTCTCTAATTTTTTAGGACAATGCTGCGCCAAGTAAAAAAAGTTCTTATGGATCATCTAATCAAAGCATTGACGACCTGCATTGTAGAGCATGCGTGGAAGCACACTACTTGACCGAAACCCCTGCAACGGCAACACACACCCACAAAACCCCAAAATAGTTGCAAGCTCATGGGTTGTCCCTCTAAGCCCTTTCAAGTAAGAAAATACGTGCTAACCAGGAAACTAAAGCATTATTCTTAGCTCTTACTTCACAGCTTAGTTCCGAGAGCAGAGAAAGTTGTCCAAATCCGATCGATGAATTTGAAAATAACAGAGAGCAGAGCGAAGAAACGAGAAGAATACCTGATCATAGATCTGAATAGGAAACAGAAGCTGCCGAGAATGTGACACGGGAAGAAGAAAGTGTAGCTGTAAGAATTTAGCTATTAAGAGAAAGACGGCCTCAAAATGTTACTCAGACTAGGGGCGAAGAATCAGGCTGCCAGTCCCCGAGAGAATGGTACTTTGGTGAATAAGAGTGCACTCCTGGTCATTTTATAAGCGACAGTTCCATTGGCCATTCATTGACGATAAGAGCCGTACTGAAGCGGGGCAGAGGACCACGTGGCGCCACATGTATGGTCCGAGGTCCTGGCATTAACGCGGAACCGAAAGCATAAGAATTGAGATTTTAGCTGCCCAAGCATGAGGATTAGGTACGAACTTGGATTCTCCCGTTACTTTTTTTGGGTTACAACGGCCAGCAAAATGCTTGAGAAGATGGGTGGATTCTCTCATTCAAGAGTTGGAATTTCGAACAAGATGCTGGCGCTCTCCATAAAGTGATAAATCGGGGAGGAACAAAATTGCTCCTCAGAAATTTAGAATTTCGGAAATGGGCATGGGTTGATCATGATCGACGGGCATGCTTGTCAAAATTTGACAGGGAAAAAGATTTTGAGAAGGAACAGTGCAATTAGACACAGTTTATCAAAAAAAAAGTCATTAAACACAGTCAGTTCTTTTTTTTTTTTGGTAGACAACCCACTCAATTTTTTTTTTTTACTCGTTACTTTTTAGACATAAATTGGACCAATGGATCCATTTGACTGGCATCCTCCTCGAGCAGAGTCAACCATGCCTGCACTGGGCCAATCCAAAGCGAACTACCTTTCCCTTATCTGTTATGTTAGGTCACAGCTTTACTCCCTTGGGCCTTGGGTCCTATAATAAGACTCTTATTTTCCGGCCCCTTCTAGTTCTGCTTCTTTTTCTGTCTAATAACATTTTTTTCGTTCACTATAGATTGGCGAGCCTTTGCTAATGTACTTGCAAGACAAGACTGGCATCTAATCCAACTTGCCAATGTACATACACTGGAGGAGATGAAATGGTGATAGTGTGAGGAGCTCGGCCAGTTCCGAGTTGGAAGAGAGCTCCCAGCAAGAAAACACACAATGAATCAATCCTTTCGTTCAGTTCTCACCATGATCCTCTTACTTTTTACCACCAGGAAAAAACACAGAGAAAATTTAGACTAGATAAACCAACTTACTCACCTTACTCGGTAAAGCTTCATTGAATTGCATGCTCTATTTAATGCAGTGATATTGAAATTTCAGCTAGAATAATCATTACTAGGCATAATCTTTAGAAAACGTGGCTTTGGCCGAGTGGTTAAGGCGCGCGCCTGCTAAGCACATTGGTTCTGCCGCGCGAGTTCGAATCTCTCAGGCGACGCTTCCCCACCCCACCCCACCCCCAAAAAAAAAAAAAAACCTAAAAGCAAGCTTCTCTCTTTCTCTATCTCTCTCTCTTAAAAGACAAACAAACCAACTTCGCTGCTTCGTTATGCACTTTTTGATTTAGGTTCCTCGGGTGCCTCGAGTATTGTCTCGTGCTGTCAGCTGTAAGCATGACAGCTCAAGCACACGTGTACAGGAATCGAACTCTTCTTATAAGCTGGCTCTCCAATCTTCCCCACCCCTCTTTCTTTTCTTTTCTATTTTTTTAATAAGGTCACGGATGATCGGGCCACAAGAAATAATAAGGTCAAATCAAAACTCTTGAAAACGCAATAGTAAAAAATCAAAATGTTAATATTGCCATTTGAAATTTGATAAACAAGCTACTACTACATGCAAGTTAAATTCTTTAAATATATAATTGAAGATAATAACAAAGTTTTTTATGATGAGATATTTAATTTTTTTTATAATTTTATTAAGGGAGCGATTCATGGTAATGTTGAATAAGTATTAATGCTTTAAACAAAATAAAGTAAATATTAATGTGGGTAAATTTTTGCCTCTAATAAAAATAAAGACCTGTAAGAATGGTTAACCCAACCGTCTTCCCCCGTCTATTTCTCATTCTTTTTTATTATTTGGATACAATTCTATTCTCCTCTCTCTTTCTTCCCTTAGACGCTTTTTTTTTTCCCTACCAAACCCTCACGTGCTTGAAGGAGGTGGGTTACCATTAATCATTGGCTTTTATAACTGATCAACTATATCTATAAACTAAATATTGTTTTACATTACTCGGTTTTTTTTTTTTTGCCAACTTTACATTAGTCATATTAAATGCTCCTTCTAGTTCCAAGTTATGACACGTTTTTTGAGAGATAGAACATTGTAAAATATAAAATATTTTTAAAAATTTAATATTTAATTAAACATACTGATTTCAGTACTATTCTTTATTGTCCCTCCTTCTTTATAATATATTAAATGAAAAATATTTTTAAAATTTTATATTTTTGTATTAAAAAAATAAAATATTTAATGAGGTTTATATTAGTATGTGAGATCTTATTTAAAAATATCTTATAAATTTAAGAAAATTGGAGTATATTATTAAAAAAATTTACTCTATTAATTGACATTGAATAAATATAAAACGAAAAAAATCACAATAAGTAATTAAGGAGGTGCCTTATAAAAAGGGCCTCAAAATTCTTCATTCAAATGTCTTTTGTGTGTGTGTGTGTGTGTAAAGACTGGATATAATATATTTGCTGCCTTTCCTTTTTACAAGTCGCTATATATAAATCACCTTTAAAAAAAATATTGATATTTTATATGTCACTTTCCATTAAAAAAAATGCATCATTAATTAATTACTTTGAATTGAATTTTATCCTTTTACATATTTTAGGAATAGAATAAAAAAGTTGCAAATAAGAAATAAAATAATTTCAAAGATGATGCATTTAACAAAAACAAGGTAAAAATATTTATTTTCTTTTAAGACAATATCAATAATTTAATTAATTATTGTTATTGATTTTGGTGAGATAGTTAGAAATGGTTTGTATGCATGTGTGACCTGATGAATGTGTGGGTGGGTATCCAATTATGAAAACACATAACGAGATGGCTAAAATGAGGAGAGTGAGTATTAGAGATGCGTTTGATGATTCAGGATTGCGTGGGGTTGCCATTTGACTCCGGAGAAGCTCCGTCATTTGAATCGCAACACAATAACGTAGCCTACCTCACCTCACCAACTATAGCAATTAGTAAGGCAAGTACTTGTCCGTTAATTAGCCACGGACACTGCTCACTCTGCTCATTTTACTCTTGCATCACCACTTCTATCCGTCTAGTATTTAAATACTTACATGTTTCTACAAATACAGGATTATTATATTGCCGCGTGCGTGTGTTTAAAAATGCATATGATCTATATATAAAAAAGGGTCTTGTTACTTAATCTTAAAAAAATTGACTTGGCCTTCACATTAGACAGTGGCCTCTTAATTTCGTTGTTGCTTCCGTCGTGCCATGCATATTTTTATGAGACACAAATTGTTTTTAGTAGCGTGACTCTGAAATTAAGTAGCGGGGGCAAATTAAATTTTTTGAAATATAATTATTTTTACTTTTTTTTTTAATCTCTGCTTTCAAATATGAGAACGTCTCAACTAACACGGATTACAATAATATTTTTTTAGACTTTAGTGGAGGGTCCAATCTCTTAAGCAGCTAAGAACTACCCATGATGAAAGAAAAACAATAATTATATTTTTAATATTTTATAATATAATTATTATTATTTTAAAGCATTTTTATTGATTAAATTATTTTATATTTATTTTAAAGTAAAACATTATATTAAATAAGGATAAATATAAAAAAATAAAATTAATTTAAAAATAGATAATTATATTATTGAGAGATAAAATTTAATTAAAAATATTTTATATTTTTTAAGGAAAAGGGTATGAGTTATTTGAGACGTGATATCTGAAGACGGGGAAAATAAATTAAAAAAATATAGTAGAAGCCATAAGGAAAATAGAGGAAGAGGAAATGCTAGGCCGGCCTGGGACGTCACCCCTCCCAATTAAACATGATTGAGATCCGTCATCAACGTTCACAAGTCACAACACAAGGAGCACATGCAGAAGCCTTCCCTTTCTCTGTTGTCGTTTTCAACGCGTCAACAATAGTAAGCAATAAGTAACCTTTGCTTGTAGATGCAACCCAGCCAGCGGTGCAATCATTGTCAACGCGTTTTTGACATACAATTGTCCCCATGCCCCTCCAACTGCCCACCACCACCTGCCCCTCTTCTCTACCCTCACGTTAACGTTACAATTCTAACCCCTCGTCGCCATTCAACTCATCCTATGGCTACCCCACCTGTAAATGTAAACCACTACTAGCCCTACGCTGTTGAAAAAACAACTTTGATTGCCAAAGTGCTAATGAAAAAACAAAGATTACCTTATATTTTATTAAATGCGTCCACTTCTTGTCCGTTGTCACAGCATTAACCATCACCTTTTCAATTAAAAGGCCAGGCTGTGAAGTTCACCCGACTCTTATTAGTGCATGTTTTTGGATTAGTGCATTTTATTCAAACTCTATTATAAATTCTCGCACTTTTTTAGTGTTTTAAATTTTTTTATTTTTATTTTTTTTAATGTTCTAAGTTTTTTTATAAGCAGTGTCATAAAAACTCAAAACATGAAAAAATAAAATAAAAGTGTAGGATATAAAATATCAAAAAAAAATGCAGAGATCTAAACAATAAGGTTTAAAATTATGTTATTTTTAAATTAAAAATATTGAATTTTTGAAGTAATTATAGTAATATCATTTTAGAAAGAGAATGCAGGAGCGGCGGAGGGTGACTTGTTCGTCCCTGCGTTGGCCATTTGAAATGGAAACGGAACCCAACAGCTCTGGCTTTTCCAGGTGGCTTGGCTATTTAGACCCCCAAATTCGTCTCCCAGTTTTTCTCAGCCACGTTTTCTCTCGTCCTCTGGTGCCAACCATTTTGGTCACCACTCCCCCCACCCCCCCCCCCCCCAATTCTTTACAAACTTGCTCAATCCTTCTCCTTCGCCCTCTATCTGCTCCCTCAAAAGCTTCTGCCTCAATTCCTTCCTCACTCCATCCCCGTGCCTTCCTCAACAATGGACCCCGTTGAGCTCAAGCGCGTTTTCCAGATGTTCGATCGCAACGGGGACGGCCGAATCACGCAGAAGGAGCTCAACGACTCGCTCGAGAGCCTCGGCATGTTCATCCCGGACAAGGATTTAAGGCAAATGATCGACAAGATCGACGTCAACGGAGACGGGTGCGTGGACATGGAGGAATTTGGTGAGCTGTACCACGCGATCATGGAGGAACGGAATGAGGAGGAGGACATGAGAGAGGCATTCGACGTGTTCGACCGAAACGGCGACGGCTTCATCACCGTGGACGAATTGAGATCGGTGTTATCGTCGCTCGGGTTGAAGCAGGGAAGAGCGATGGAAGATTGCAAGAAGATGATAATGAAGGTGGATGTGGATGGAGACGGAAGGGTCAATTACAGCGAGTTTAAGCAAATGATGAAGGGAGGTGGCTTCGGTGCTCTCGGCTAACCTGTTCCTTGCTTCTTGTACATACTCCAAAAATTGACCCGCTCATCGCAATGAACATCATCATCAATTCGTGTTCGTGCTTCAAATCAAAGACCAAGGTGCATGCGTTGTCCATCAAGATTGCATCTTACGGTTAGATGGTTCAAGCGAATCCATGAATCCTGGAAATTGTGGGAACTGGGAGAAGGGCAGTGAATGGGAGCGAGCGCTTGCCGTAACCCTATAATGTGTTATTTTCTTTCTTTTTTAAATATTTTTTGACAGGTTCTGTTTTCGGTTTGTATAACCGTTTTGTTGATTACCGCTGGTGCCGGATTTTGATATCCCAATTTCATTGGCTTGGCTTTTGTTTTTCTGTTTCCCCACTTGATATACTTTCATGGATTGTATTTGACGATTTGGATCATTCATCTTTTAGCAGCAAATTCACGTTGAGAATGATAAAAATCTCCCTCTCGATCGTTCTTGTTTATAGCATTCATTAGGAAAGAGAATAACGCAAGAAAATATAAGATTTATAATTGTATACCAGACTCATGTTTCGTAATCAAGTATTGCATCTATTATCCTACTTTTTCTATTCATCTATATCCGATCGAAAACATTCTTTACATTGTCGTACATGTAGAAAATTCGCGCCGTAAAAACTGAACCTTTTTACTTGATTGTTCCTAGTGCAGAGCGTATTATGAAGTTTTAGGGTTCAACGGAAAACCACTTTTGAAAATGTCTAAAGCTGGTGGTTACAATACGGTGAATACTAAGGAATGGACTCAGCGGCGCTCTCAAGAATGAGTAAAAATGATATGCTAAACCTTAGAAAATTGCTGAATGTTGTCGGTTGTGCCATGTTATGAGCTACCAACTTAAAAGATACTCCTCTGATCCTAATGAGTTGCGAAACATCTTGCATAATATTAATAAACAAAGCTACACTTCCTTTCTGAACTTTCTCCTTTTTTTGTAATCTTCTTGCCTTTCTTACCTTTATTCTAGAACTACTATCTAAGCGGATGATTTTGCTGGTTTATATGCATATCCAAAAAAAAAAAAAAAAACCCTTCTCATGAAACTTGTGTCTATTTTGCCAACAGAGTTAATTTTATTGGTAAAGACGTGATAAAGTTATTGGTTCAAATATCATTGCTAACGTGAAGATTTCGATAGTGATAACTTATTAAATATCTTTATGATTGTTCTTTGAACAAGGGACTTGTCTCAATTTCAGTGATCTTCCAGGATTCAATCCATGGAAATTTCTCAGGAAAAAAAAAAGCTGTTTATTCTCGAGTTCTTGGAATTTTAATGTAGATATTACTTTATCATTTGATTTTCTTTACAATAAACCTTTGTTGAGAACTTGAACTGTTGATGCAGGTCGATTGCAGCAAGCATGAAGCAACCGTGATAACTAGAAGCAAATAACACAGTCGAATTAGGTCATTGAAGGAAATATAAACATTCGGAGCGGGCATTCTCAGTCTAACACCATTATCCGATATCTGAAAAGAGGGACGAGGTCAGATTATTCGAATGCTATACATAATAAGGGAGCCTTGAATCAAATCTCACGAAATCAACAATGGAATGATTCAACACTATCAGGGCATTTAAATGCCCGTTATGGCTGTCAATACGTTGTTAGACAAACTTCATAAGAAAGGACTCACAAGGCCTGTACATGGACTCAACTAGATTCTTCTACCAGCGAAAATTACCATGGAATTAAAAGGGAAAAACTAAATAAATTCTATAAAAACCAAACAAACTGAAGTACAGAACCGCCTGACAACTAGAATTGGACTGGACCGCAGCAGATACCGCAAGTCAGCAATTATCAGATATTATTAAATGCTTTGTCCTGCGACATTGAACCAGCGGTTGATTTCATGTTTCATCCAGTGAAAAAAATAAATATCAAAAACTAACTTGTTGAAAGTTGGCCCTATCTATGACTCTGTGGTTCTTTGTTTTCCATCTCCTTCACACTGTCTACTATGTGCTGTATTTTCTTTGAAAGGCTTTCATTGTGCTCCTCAATATGCTCAAATATCAATTCAAGATGCCTTTTATAGGTTGCTGCTCGCTTTTTCTCTAAAGTCAACTGCTGGGAGAGTTCCCGAATTTTATCATGTTCATTCTGCAAACAGCATTAGAAAACTAAAGCAAGCATAAAAAGAGCTAAAAAGCAGTACTGAATTTCACACCCCCCCCCCCACCCTCAAAAAATAAGGGGGGGGGGGTACTAAATCGATAATTTAGGCAATGTTAAACACAGAAACGAGCATGCGTATTAATACAGGGAACTTGTCAATATTTTCATAACGTGCTATGGCTCTATCAATCATGCATTAGTATAGGTATTATAACACTCATCATGCCGTTAATCAATGTCTATAGACATAGAACATTGATATGGGATTCTCTCCGGACGTTTGCTTCTATTAATTAATTCCTTACCTCGTTTATAGCATTCAATTATGATGGATGAATTTATTAATACAAAAAAATTAAGATTGTTTGATGAATTTCACCAAAGTGTAATGTCCTTGACTTAGGTTTTAGTAATGAGTAGAAAAACTTCATCCATTTTCAGCTTTTCGGGGTCTAGTGCAACTCTTAAACTCCAGACATCAACTGACAACTAAAAACTAGATTCTCTTGCTGGTCATCTATATATAAATTTTCAAATATCTGACTTGCTGATAGAAAGGTTCACTGAAAGTAGACTACAGTCACGACTGTTCCTCCCTTATGTCTAAAAGTAATAATCACATGGATGATGATTCTATTTCATATGAGAAAAAGTCATATGTATTTGTTTAGCAATAATCCTATTATTCTGGGTGTTGTGATTTAGGTTTAGGATGCTAGCCCCCTTCCCCTTTCTAACTTTCTTTGTATCTCAGTCACTCATCATCACCATGCATATCAGGTCACCAGTAATGGAAAAGCAACTAGAGCAAGAGCACAATAAAAATAGATGACACAATAAAACAACAGACATTAAACAGAAATAGCTTTGTAGAATCTTCATTCGCTAATCCCGCTCTCTAGAAATCATGGGCAAGCTCTATTTTAGTCCTCTCATACCCACCATATACATCATATATTGCACCTAGAACTCACTAACCCGATGATGCAATTATGCCCAAGAATTCTAATCATAAGTTTAGTCCCGAATGATTCCCCTCTTCCAAGTGACATTCATGCACATGTATTATGAATATTTTCTTCCCTTTTTACAATTGATTGAACCTTCCAAGACATTAAGATATGAGTCAGTCAACAACTATTAGTGAATCATTTTGGAATCACTGATTAGCGCATATCGCTTTCTGTCCCTATATCTATTGAGGTGGTTGATCGTGTTTGCTTGCTCATGAACTCACTACTCAGTTAAGCAGACTGAAAGCATAATGTTGGTGATCTTGCTTTTCTGAGATAACTAAATAACATCCATTTCGGAAAAACCACACTGACAATTCTTCCCTTCACAAGTTGGCAGCATAATGTTTTGGTCCTATCAAAATTTTGAAGAGGATTGTGAAGGAAGCTCATGAGCTAGAGTTACCACAGTACAAAGACCCAGGTTCACCCCATTTTCAAGTTTTCTCTTCTCAGCAAGTATATGGTTTCAGGGGCACCAGTCAGCACTACATTGCCTATCAGAGATGCAAACGGTCAGTTTGCTTTGGAACCCTAAGAAATGTTGAACTGTAAGGTTGACAAGAGGAGTCACTTGTCTATTAATCCAGTTTTGGTTTGATGGAAGCAAACCCAGCCTGATGATGCTCCTTGGGAAGATCTGGTTATCAACAACTTCAGGACTTTTCTTTGCTCCACCATCTTGGACAATCCTTGTGGATGAGGATTTTTTTAGGTGGGTGTATATGTTACACAAGCCTATTGATAGAATGAAATGAAAGATAATGATGCCAAAAACAAAAGGGGAGAGGGGATGAAAGGTATAGACCATTACGAGTCAATACATGAGAATAGGTAGATATAAATACCCCTATTATGTACTCTGAATGCGTCAAGCAAATACCCCCACCCCCCAAAGCATTTCTTAGCAGGCTGGAAGACAGTGAATTGCCAATTTTATAGCTTTGGAACAAAATACCAATTATACAGTCAGGGTGAGGAAATCATACAACTCCAAAAGTTTGCAAAATACAATCAATGGTGCCCACATAAGTGAAATGGGGAACCTTCACCCAAAATCTAGCTGTTAAGGTGGAAAAACTAAGTCATTTATGTACCCCATAGATTACATATCACCACTCAATGTAGATTTAGGCATGCTTTATTATCTTAACCTCCATCAATTAACTTCCAAGATCATTGTCAAACATGGATTTTACAAGAGATAGCAAGCAATGAAGAAATGTTCTAGGCTATCAGCATGACTTATGATTAATGTTCTAGAAAAGCGTGCATGTAAGGATTCATCTAAATAAAAATAAGGCAGGAACATATTTCAGCATATTTATGGATACATAATTGGAGTGTGTGATATCGAGTAAACTGCCAAAATAAAATGGAAGCTCAAGCAATTATATAATAATGCCTTCTGATTTTGGAAAATAAGCAGCTCCCCCCCCCCCAAAAAAAAAATTTCCTTTATTCAGCTTCTCCCCGATAATCAACAAACTTGAGCTAAATGATATACTAGTTTTAAGAATCAAAGAATGAGTACTGACCGGATATTGTTCGTAAATGCAATCCCTTCTACCTTTTCCTGGTGTCAAAGGATGTGTGTGCTCTTTAACAAACTTTGTAACTACCCATTTACCAGAACTTACTTTCCTGACCAAAATCATCGCCCTGCAGCCAACCCTTGTCTCTGCCCTTTGCCTTACAATCTTTTCGCGCTTGTCAGGCATTCTATAACCCTCTTTATTGCAAACAAGTGCCCGTCCAATAGCAGACCCATCACGTCTTGATCGAGAGAGTTTACTTACACGTATGACAAATCCAACATTTGTGGCATATGCATTATAAAAAGCATGCGCTGCTGCTTCAGACTCAAACTCTTGACCCACATAGGGCTCCTCAGCTGAAAAAACTGATACTGCAGGAACTGCTGATGGAATTGTATCCCCCCCAGAAGAATCTTGAGCCTGTGTATCACTTTGATCCTGTTTATAAGTTGGTTCAACTGAACTACCACCTGTTTTGATTTCATCCTCTATACAGCTAACATCCCTCACGATAGCATTTCCTACTGTCTCACCATGAATAGAGCCATCAATTCCAAACTCCACTGCAGCAACAAGGATCTGCTATAAGATTATCAATGCCAGAGCAATATTGTGGAGAACAGCGTATGCAATTGATTGAATACTCTTTACTAAAAGTTACTAACATTGAAACGAATCAAAACACACATTTATGTGTCAATGAAAATAAAGACACCTATAAAAGTTGATGACACAGAAGGAGGGCCTTTAATTCACACTAACTATTCAAGCACACTCCTCTACAACAGCTAAAATATATCATCACACTGCAGAAAATGGCCACCTTATCCCCAGGAAATATGAAGGCAGAGTTTCTGTCTTTTTGAAGATTTCCTTATTCTATAAAAGTCAAACGTGCCAAATTATGGCGCTCCTAACAAGTCTCCCCCTTCTTTGCTTCCAAACAAGTAAAATGAGTCAATGACGACAACACCAAATCCGGGCACAATGCAGTAACCCATTTTCATCTGAAAACGAAATCAATCCATGGATAAATTCCATGACGTTAGAGTCGTGTCAAAATAGGCATCACGCAATTATTATGGTGGTCGTATGGTTTCTTGCATTTTACTTTGTCCTACTCCAAAAAATGGTAACAGAAAGGAGGCGCGGCAACAATTATAACTAATAATATTTTTCGAATGAAAAAAAGAATCTAAAGTTTCATCAATATCCAAAGATGAAGGTATGGATGCATTATACAGTTTCCCAATAATGATTTAATTTTGGCTAATAAGTCACCATTGAAATTGGAGAAAATATAGATCAATTGAAATATGTCAGCAAGAAGCCGTGCACCTGAGTGCAGTCTATTCCTTTACACAAGTCTGGATCAAAGCGGTGTCCCAACATAGCATCACCAAATAAACTCAAATTCAGATTCCAGAGCGATCAACTTAAACTTACCACCATCCATGAGATAAAGTTTCAGTCAAAACCTCAAAGTAGAAGGTCCCAAATAAAGGAATTCCATTCATTTTCCCCACTAATTTCCTCAGACACGACTCATTGCGTGAACATGAGTTCCCTAGCCTACGGAGAGATTTATTAGAGCATAAATGAAATCCAAACCTTTCGACTATGGCAGAGGGAGTACATGATGTGAAGCAAAGAGAAAGAAGATTAGAAGAAAGACTGTATCTTGCTAACAGAAGTTAGGGGGGAAAAACAAAATCTCCAGTTCTTCGAGGTGTTCACCACTTCCCTCTGAAACTCTTTGCAAAGAAGAAAAGAAGCAGGATTAAATCGCTTCCTAGGTGACAACAGACCAAGCCATTCAAGCATTTAATTCATTCATGCACCACAACACAAGAAAACCCTAGAAATTCCATTGACATGAATCCCAAAAAAGAATTCTCATAGCAATAATGAAAATTGAGAAACGTAAAACAAAAACTCACTGAAAATTCCTCGATTGTCTTTAGAAAACTTCTCTGATTCTGCTTTATTTTTATTTTTTTAAAAAAGAAAAAAACCTCCTGTGCCAAGAAGGGCAGATACAGGGGTGGGAGCTTCAGGGAAGAAATATGGAGGCTCAAGTCTCCCCTTACATGTCAAAATACTATTGGTAAGCTCTTCTGCAAAAGTCAACTTCATCGTGTGGTCAATTGTTTTTTTTGCAAATATTAATAGAATATAATATATAATTATATATAGATATATAAATTATGGATGGATAGATTTGCAAGTTTTTTTTGGGCCAATAACTTTACGCCTTTACCAGACCATCGTGTTCATGTCAGCCTGATCTGGCCCATACTAGACCACCCGGTCCATATGTGACGGGTGCTGATCCTCCCCTCCAGCGACGTGCGACGCCCGAGTCTCTTCTTGACGCTTCAACGCAGCCATGGCGAATTCTCTGTTTCGCAGCCTTCGAAGAGCTTCTTCTCTTCTCAAAATTCCATATTCTGCTTCGATATCTCTCAGGTTCTCTCTTTCTGCATGATGTTTTCTACGTATTTAAGCAGTCGATTTTTCTACTTCAGGAACCTGTGTTTTTTTATTTCTTTGAGCTCCTAGCTTGACTTAGCTTATTTTCTCGATATTGAGCCAGCGTTACAGAAAATTGACGGTAATAGAGACTTGTGAACAATGGCGTAGAATATATTTATGCGCATTTCGTTTTCTTCTGCAATGATTCACAACTTCCCTGCTAATTCCTCCATGTTCTAGGTCAGTTGTCAGAACTCAAACACCGACTTGCTATCCATTTAAACAATTTATCCCGCTCGAGCAGCAAACCCCTGCATCTGTTTACAGAAACTTCAGCCATGGTTCTGTTAACCTTGTGATATCGGGGGGGAAAACTAAGTTCGAAACTCACGAGGTTGACCCTCCAAAGAAAGAGAAATGGAAGACCAAAAAGAGGTTGAAGCAACAGAGGAAGAGAGAGAAGCAGAAGAGAAAAGCGGCAAATAAGAAGGACCCTCGTCGGCTTGGTGTCAAGGGGAAGAAGAAGCAGAAGTTCGCCGATGCAGAAGAGAGAATCAAGTACAAGATTGAAAAAGTATGCGCGAAGATTCTCTTTTTCCTAATAAATACGGATCCTTTTGCTGCAAAGAACTTTCTAATTTGCTCACTTTTCTGATTAACATTTTATTTGCTTGCACTGATAATTGATAGGTTATGTGACTGAGTCACTCCTGGAAGAGGGAGTTTTTTTTTTTTTTTTTTTTTTGATTCCTGGAATCTACTTGGAAGTTAACCATACCGTGACATGCTGAAGGACTGATAATTGGCTTGATATTTTCTCTTAAATAGATGCTTTTCTTTGGCACTATTGTCTAATTTGAAAATCTTAGCTGTCATGAACAGGAAAGTTCTTTGCTGAACTTAAGACACGCATTATTGCATTCTCCTTAGTGTAGAGATATGATCCCCGGTCATGTATTGTTTTGCCGGTCTGAACATATTTTTTGCCCCCATTGTACCTATTTGAAGTTTTTTCCCCAAAAAAAGAGAGAAAATTCTACTGCAGTAAATTGGTAAATTGATAATTATATATTTCATGAAGTTCTTATTTGCCTAGGCATTCCAACTATGATGTCTAAGTACCTGGTTTAACCCCAGGCCAAAATTAAGGAAGCAATGCTTATTGAAAGACTCAAGCGATATGAAATTCCCAGAGTTCAGGGCCCTTTGGCAAAACCTGATGGCTTGACTGGGGAAGAACGATTTTATTTGAAGAAAATGGCTCAGAAAAGCACTAATTATCTACAAGTTGGAAGAAGAGGATTATTTGGAGGTGTAATTCTTAATATGCACATGCATTGGAAGAGACATGAGACTGTTAAAGTCATTTGCAAGCCCTGTAAACCCAGCCAAGTGCATGAGTATGCACAGGAAATTGCCAGATTGAGTGGTGGCATTCCAATTCATATAATTGGAGATGACACTCATATTTTATCGAGGAAAGAACTATGTACAGCCTGAGGTTATGTCGCCAGTAGATACATTATCCAAGAAAAAGGTGACCTTCTATAATCTTTATCTCAAATGCATAGACATTTTAATTGATCTTATAAGTATTTCCATTTGAATTACACGTCAAAAATTACCTGCATTTTTCATTCCAGAAGGGGTCTCTTCAGGACAGTATCCAAAAGACTTCTCTTTACAATGTCACTACTGTGTTAAGTGACACTAAATTTATCTCCCTGCTTTCTTTTAACTGCATTGATTAAAAGCATCACTGTGAATTTTCATAATGAGTTTCTGTGCTCAAAACAGTTCTTATAGTGAACCATTTAATGAAACTAATACGTGCATCTCGTTTGGTGCCTTTAATTGGCTCACTTTTACGCTTATCCACAAATATAGAAGATCTAGGTAATTGAACTTATTAGGCAAGCGTCAATTAATCATTTAGCATGTTTATGCAACCTACCTCAGCATAGTTTTTGACTCTTTGTGGCCGCCCATGCAGTTGCGTCATTTTAGAGTTTATTGAACTGCTGTTTGTTTCCTTTTCTGTCATGGGAGATTAATTTTTAATTGCATAGTGCATACAACAGATTTAGGTCTGCATGCGTCATTTTCTGATTAAAAGAGGCTATCATGATTGTTTTTTATGCGAATAAGCTTCTGAACTGTAGCTTTTATCCCCTTCATGAAATTATAGAGTCTTGATCTAATCCTTTTCCCATTACACCGTGTTTCAGAATAAATCTCCTGACTGGGGTCCCTTTTGCATTCTCTTAAGCATCTTCCTATACAAGTGAGATAACTTCCAATGATTAGCGAACTTTAAAATCTCGGGATTGTATATTATGATAATATTATAATGGGGAGGCGGGGAAGGCAACAAAATAAACATGGGAGAAGGTTTCTAGGTTTTTTTTTTTTTAATCCTTTAAACTAAAATATGTATTAATATAACAGAAATGACTAGAGGAGACATTTATACACTTACAAAGAAATGTGATGAATACTTTTTATAACTCGATGTGGACGAGGACCCTACAGGACTGAGGATATAACTTTTGCCCCTATCCCCAAACTATCCTTGGGAGATTTTTTTATTTTTATTTTTATTTTTTTCCTGTCTGCCCCATGAGTAAAAATTCTCTGAATGTGGGTCTCCAAATGGGTTAGTCCCAGCGGGAATCCTCTAACTTGGGGAACTTTGCCATCCCTACGTGTTGTAAGTGTTGCAGTCATTCTGTTTCAGTGTTCCTACTGAGGAGTGATACAGAGAGAAAACAAAGACGTAAATGTGATGATAATTGGTTTATCTTTTTATGTAATCATAATTGGAAATGCCGACACTAATGCACTGGTCTTAGGACTTGTAAATAGGGGAAATTTAAGACTTGTAGCCGTTAATTCTTCGTGTTGTAGCTTATTATATGTAAGACAAGGTTGTCATAGCTGTTTCCGGTTGCCGGATCCGATGAGCGGATTGTGTTGTGTAGTTTGACTATGTAGTTTTGTGATTTGCGTGACGCAAGTGCTTTGATGATCTACAGGCACTTGAAAAATCCAAGTATGAGCAGTCACTTGAGTCAGTGAGACGCTTCATTGCTATTGCCGAGAAGGAATTAGAGCTATATTATAGGCACGTTGCACTCTACGGTGACCCAAATGACCGTAATCCCTTGTCAATATTGGAACGTCCAAGCTGGAACTCACGGATAGAAGGGAATCATGGACTGAATGAAAAGAGAAATTTCGATTCAAGAAGTGATAGCGTTTCAACAGATATGTCGGACACGGAAGCTGATTCCACGGATGTAAAATTATGGGAAACTGAAGATAATTTTGAAGATGGACGTTTATCAATTAGCGAATCAGATTCTGAAGAAGACTGCTTATCGGATTTCAAAGGTGAAGAAAGAGGGGCTTGTTATACTAAAATGGAAGTTGCCAGAGTAGGCACCTCCCCGAGTTCATTATCAATGTCCAAACACAGCTACCATTACAATAATCTTAGTTTATTATCCAGAGAAATTCCAACCACAAGAGATTGATTATATGTTGTATTTCTTTCTTCTTCTTTTTTAGTAATTCCATTTGCTTAATCTGGAGGGCAGCGGCTTTTGCGAAATTGTAACGAGGGTTTGTCTTTCTTTTCTTTTCCTTTCATTGTGGGGAGAGGTAACAAAATAGTATTCATGGTATGCTATGTCTGTACCTCACTTTCGTCAAAGAATTAGAAAAATTCCCCGTGCATTTGTATAGAAGAATCCGAGCGTTCTTTTTGAAATGACGTGCAATCCTAAATTTTAGTTTATATAAGTATTTTTGGTGAATAACAAATATCAAGTGTGTTAAAGGTGTTGAGTTTTAATTGATAATAAAAGGATCTTGAGTTTTCTTACCACATTCAATGACGCAAAAAGATAAAAAGATTGATGAAACAAGTGTTGGTTCTCACAAACCAAAAGGGATCTTTGCACTTAATGCTTGATGCTGAAGTAGCTAAACATCGTGAGCATATAATGCTAATGTAGACGGGTAGCAATAGGACAAACCCTGGTTCAAAGTTAGGAAGTAGACAAGCTAACTCGCTAATAATATCCAACAGTCTTGTGACAAAAGTGCTGCGGGGAATTCAACACCGGATGAATAAGTAGCTTGAAGAGAACCAAAGGTTTTTTTTTTTTGCACTATCCTTGAAAATATCAAAATGCAGGGAGAAGGAACGACAGCTGATTATGTGCAGGCTCTACATGACGACATGAAGAATATAGCTACATCATTAACTGAAAAATTAATTGATAAAACTAAAGGTTAAAAAGTATATGCGAGTCTTCGATTGAGTGTTGACTGTTTTTTTTTCTGTATCTTCATCTTTTATTTATAGTGTTAGAGTAGTGATAACCTTTCCCTTAATACCTAGCACGTTTTGTTGAGGAATTAGGAATTTCATGAAACTCATGGCACGTTCTTATTCTGAGTTTCCCATTTTTTGTAATTAGCCCATATATTTGGGTACAATGTCTGCGGATCCAGAAATTACTCGAGATCGTATCTTCTTGTGCCAACAATCCAAAGTTTGTAACTTGCAGAATTTTGACATGTTTATTTTATCGTGGTCTTTATTAAACTTTAGGGCTAGCCCTTTTGTTTATATTGGACTTAATTCTTCAGTTATTCAACTCAACTAGTTCTGTAACTTATTTGAATGACGTTTTATATTTTAACTCAAACAATAAATAAGGAACAATGTGAAGATGCTTTAGTTACTGATTCAACTAAAAAACACATGAATTTTGTTGCTGACCGAAAAAAGTATATGCTGTAAGGAAGAGCAAATTCAACGGCGTTGAGAAGTGAAATGAGGGAAAAGAAAGAAGGAAGAATCAGGGAGGGCAGGAAAAGTAAAATGGCAAGGGGCAATGCATGGGAGATAGATATTCATGCTGTGCCTGTGTCGCGTGTCTTTAGTTTCCTATTCTCTTGTGTATGTGTTTCCCTATCAACCTTCCTTTTGCCAACTCAAACGCTACCTTGAACTAGAATCTCAGAATCTGTACGAATATTCCTCTTCTTGCTTGCCGTACCATGTCTTCTGGGACGGCCATTTATCCTCTCTTTCTTTCCAATGTCTGAATTACGAAAACATATCGGATGCCTTCGATTTACTTTCAAATCTTTACCCGCATTGGCCGAATTTTTCTTTATGATGCCAGAATGCACAGTATCACAGAAAATATACATGAAAGTGAGTTTTTGATATTTAGAGGAGATGGAAATAGAAGCGTAAATGAAATAGCTGGTGGCCGAGGAAGGAGAACATGGATTCAAACGTTGGCAGCCTTCATGCATGCTTTTCTTAACCAAAAAGGCGAGAGAGAGAGAGAGCTGGAGAGTCCAAATACGAAATGCTGCCGCTTAACTTTCTCGCTGGCATGTGATATGATTCGCCTCCTCCTTACCCCATGTTTCCGGCCCTATGCAATTTAACCATCAGGTTCTATTTCCCCTGAAATGAAGTAGAAGTAACGCAATGACGTGATATCACACGAGATAAGATATACAAGTTAAAATCATAGCCTTTTGCGTAGGGTCCAAAAAAATATGGATAGCTGTATAAATAGAAACAGATTTATGCCCGCGAATTGTACGTTAAAGAATTTACCTCCAGGACCAGGGGGCATGAAACCACTACGTAAGCTTCAGGGCTGATGGCGGCACCCCACCTCTCTTCAAAGTTCAAAGGCACGCCACTTCCCTACATCTTCTCATTTTCAAATTTCATATCTCTGTCTCTCCTCTCTCTATCCCTTGTCAGTTGTAACTGCATTCTTTTTTTTTTTTTTAATTTTTACCGAAAAACCATTGAATTCAATATATATCAATTAAGGTCTATTTGGTTCGCTTACCACATCTTTCTAACGCAATATAAATAAAGTGCAATGCAAACAAACCCTCCCCTTCACATGTAATATGATATTAATTAACGCTCTCCTCTTTAGGCGCAGATTTTGAAGCAGAGGGAAATAGATAACGCCAAAGTTTTCCGTATTTTTCTCCTTTTAATTCTTTCGCCAAAAATGTTATTTTTTACCTCTTTGAAATTTCAAATCGAGTGATTTAGCTTACTAAAGTTTTACTCCCGCTGGACATTCAACTAAACTCAATGCTATAGATTTGTGTTCTTTTCTTAGCAGTTTAGAACCCAGCCTTCTTCGACAAACATTTCTTAACAGAAAAGAGAAAACCTTACTGTCTTTTCTAAGGGAGAGAAAATTCAAATAATATCGACTGACCCGAAATTAATGTGCACTGTGTTGTGCGCAGGTTCGATTCAGCGTATTCCGTATTGACTAGAGGTTGCTCCACCAAACCTTCAATACTTTAATAAATAATAAAAAAATTAATTATTTAATTTTTATAATTTTAACTTAACTATAACTTAATTTTTAAATCTTAATTCATTATAATTTAATTTTAAAATTTTAACTCAATTATAAATCAGTCTTTAAACTTTACCTCTTGCAATTTAATCCCTAAAAAATATAATTATAAAAATTCAAAATATTTTTAAATTTATTACTAATATTTTAAATTATTAAACCCTCTTAATTTTTATAAATATTATAAATTTTAAAATTTTAAAATATTTTTAATATTTATAATTTATTTTTTAAAATAAATATATTAATATTTAAGAGGTTAAAACTTTAAAAATTAAATTACAAGGGAGAAAATTTAAGAAATAATTTATAATTGAATTAAAACTTTAAAGAAAAAATTATAACAGGTCAAAGTTTAAGAATTTAGTTACAACTTAATTAAAATTATAAAAATTAAATAATTAATTTTTCTTAAATAATATGTAGCGGAATGTGAATGCACTCAAATTTATCAATGAAAAGGTATGGTTATTAAGTTGAAAGAAACCTTAGATAATAACATACTTCCTTTAATTTTTATTATAAAATACTTTTAATTATTTTATATATATTAAAAAAATTATTTTTTTATATTATAAAAAAGTAAAGTATATTTTTATTTTTATTTTTTTTAAATAATAATACTATTATATAAAATACTTTTACGTTAGTTAACGAGGAATAAAATTAAAACAATATTTTAATTATTATAAAATATTTTATATTTTAAATTAAAAATTATTTTTAAAAAGTGTATTATAAATAAGATTGAAGGGGGGAGTGACGTGATACTAGTAATACATGGGCATTGCTAATTTAATTATTATTTAATTTAATATAATATGGGAGACCGCGCCAAGAGGTGGACCTGAAGGCTAGGTGCATTCTGCGTGCCACCAAGCGGCTTTACGAGTTAGGGAAGGTCACTGTCGCTGCCACCTCTTGCTTCCGTGGCATTTCATTTCTATTTCTTTCATTCATCTTAATTACATACATGCCATTTTTTTTTTCTAATATTTATCCTCTCTATAAAACAGTTCTTGCCTTATTCCAAAGGGAAAACAGAATTATTATTTTGTTTAAATCAATCCATCCACGCCTGTGTATATAAAGAAGAGGAAATTCTAATCGTGAGATTGATTTTCTAGCTAAAGATGACAGAATAGGACTCAAGATTTTTATATTTCGACTGAACCCATTGTTGGGTGCTTGCCTTTATATCGGGCACTCTGCAGTTATGTTTTAAACTTTTATCAGGTTGATGGCTGTCTTTGAATGCTTGAACAAACTTTTTTTTTTTAGTTTTTGATTTTGAATTACAGTTCAATGTGAACTAATGAAGTAATTGGCCACAAAAAAAAAACTAATGAAGTAATAAAATCAAAGAATCTGCAAAAATTGTATGCTGAAAATATCTCCACTTGCCGTCGCCCTGTTTCTATTTATTTAAACACTGTGCCTGTTCTTGTCGATGTCTGCCCCTTTTGTAACAGCAAATCACCCAATTGCATGAATCTTTTGATTTTCTTCCATTTTAATGGTTTTCGTTTGGGGGGAAATTTGACTTTACCAGTTTGACAGTATATTGCCGAAAAAAGCGCGTTCGCATTCGGTGTGCACGAGAGCTCATCAGCTTCTGATCCTTTCATTTTCTTTTAAGATGATCTCCATCGTTTATTTTAAATTAATTTTCAAATATTTTTAAAATTATATTTATCAGAAAAAAAATTTATAAAAATTAGAAAAAATTACTATCAAATCTGAAAACTCTTCTGTGCTTATATTCTTGATAATCTAGATTATTTAGCTTTAAAGTTTTTATTTTTATTTTTATTCTATATTTATGAAAATTATAAAAAAATTTAATAAATTTGATCATCACCAACCTTAGAACCGATAATTCAGATAAGCGGAGTTTATTCAGATCAAAATTAAAGTATTCTATTCTTTTTAAAAAGTTCATATAATTAAGCCTGACCCTAATACCTTTAGACATTGAGCTTATTTAAGCCGGCCCCAATACCCAAAATATTTTAAAAATATTTTTTATTTTCTTGAACCAAATTTAATTTTTAAATAATTCTGTTAAGTATACAATATTATTTTAACTTTGAAAGAATAAAATAAAAATAATAACTTATTAACTTTATATTTAAGTAGCTTTATTTTTGTTTTATTGTATTATGTGTAATTTATTCATGAATGTTTTCTTTACTTGCAAATTAATATCTTAGTTGTTTAAATTAATAGGTCTATTACTACTAATTTAAAATCATTGTCCCTATTAGTTTAAAATTTTTAATAACTTTTAAATAAATTATACCTTTTGTTTTTAAGAATATAAAAAAATAGCTATCATTATATTATAAAATAATTATTAGTAATGAGTAAAATACTATTTTTTAAAATTTTTTTCTTTAACTTTTTATATTATTTAACTTTTATATATAAGAGTTTTCACTTTAGTTTATTCTTAATTTTTAACCAAATCTGACATAGATGATAACTGAATAATTATCTAAAAATATTATTTTATTTATTATATTTATCTAATAATAGAGTCAAGAATTTGTATATGCCCAAATTTTATTTTAAAAATTATTTTTAATTTTATTTTTATTTTAAAATTAATTATCCAAAAATATAAAATATATTTTTTGAATATGAAAATAATGTATAGGACTCAAAAAATTTTTCAAAAAAATTGAGTCTTGAAATATAAAAATAAATATTAAATACATTTTAAATATTATTTTGAAATATTTTATTGATTAAAAATAATAAAAATAAAAATATTTTTTATTTTTTAAAAAATAACTATAATAATACACTCAAATATATAATATTTTAGTATAAAATGATATAAAATTTAAAGAATTATTTAAAATTTATTTTATTATATATATATATATATATATTTTAAAAATTTATTTTTTTATTCAAATATTTTGGTCAGGCCCAAACTAGATTGAGCTTGACTCAAATTTTCTTTGGCCGATGAGCTTGGGCATTAAAAAATAATTTTTTTTAGGCTCCACTCTAATTTTTTCTGGTGAGTTCGTGACTTGTCGAATTTGATACAAATTACTAGCTCAACCCAAATAGTGTAAAGATTTAATCAAGACAGTCCAATTTAGTATTAAATTTTTTTTATAATTTTTGCAAATTAATTATGTAAATATACTCTGGACAATCTATACGGTCCTATTTAATATTAAAATTTTTTATAATTTTATAAAGTAACTATACATATACACTCTGACCAATTCATGTTTAAGATTAATTGTTTTAGAATTTTTATAAATTATATTTTCATAAAGATAATTTTTTAAAATATCTAAAATTTAATTTAACTAACAAACACGGTAACTTAACGGATAAAGAGTTGTCCTCTCTTGGATAATGGATAATTATGTAAAAAATAATTTAAAATGAACCGCGGAGACCATCTTAAAAGAAAATGGACGGCCAGATGCTGCTGAGCACTCATGCAAACATGAAAAGTATGCATTTATCAAACTTATTTTGATTATTAATAAATGTTAGTTATGCCTCGCTAAGGTCACAATATAGCATCACCTGTAATAGAAACTTATTTTACAAATATAAAAATTATAACATGACTGATACTTAAAAGTTTCACCAAAAAAGTTTGGCCGGCCAGTATATATTTTAATTATTACTTAGGAGGCCACCAAAAAATTAAAAAAAAAATTAGGAGGCCATTTGCCCATTTCACAAAAAATAGAAAGGGAATTTATAGCTAGGAAGCATTCGTCACCAAGAGCGGGGCCCCTGATTTCAGACTGTGGCCTAAACCAGCGTAAATGAGTTGCCGAAATTATAAAAGGAGAGGCCATACATTGGGATTTATGCACACCTTGAATTTATTTTATTAAAATCTTCACATTATAATGTATAACAAATATATGATTTCTAAATAATATCACAATCACAATGAGTATATAATTGTTGTAAATAATTACATTCCGTTCAAGAATATATGCTCATTAGCATGTTATTAAAAAAATAACATATTCAATTTAAAAACTTAAATGACGAAACGTTAAGTAATCCCACCAAGCGCTCTAATCCAATCCAAACTAAAATGCAAAGAATGAAAAGAATGGAAGTGAATAAAGATTAAAGAATGCCGCTTTGTTTTGCCTAATGGGCGGAAATAAGTCCAAATTTGGAGATAAAAAAAAATAGATTTGAATTTCGTAGAGTAAAGTTCGAAATATGAGTTGACCCAAATAATTAGTCATAAGGGTTAGGCTGAATTGAAAAAAAATTACTCAAATAAAAATGAGTTTTTTTAGCCTGGACCATATGATCCGTGAATCACATGTGTTATGATTGGCTTGTTTAATTCATACTATTATTTTTAAAAAATTTAAAAAAGAAAAAAATGAGAAAATTTTGTGGATATAAATCATATTAGGCATGACTTACTTAGTTGTATCATTTTATATATTTTATGCAAACATTATAAATTAATATTTTGATTTATTTAAAATAAACCATGAATAAATATCAAATTGAAACTTGTTATTTAGATATATTTTTTAAAAAAGTCATAAAAAATAAATGTTTTAAAAATTAAGTTGATGAGTTGGCCCATTTAACTCGTCAACCTTTAAATATTGGATTGAGTTAAAATTTTTTAACACATATAAAAATGAGCTGAACCCAATCCAACTTATAATTTTCTCAACCTATACGAGTTACCTCACATGGGCCGGGTTGACTCATATTCTCACCTTTATCATAAAGTGACCAAAATATACTTATTTGTCTTATTTAAAATTATTAGATTTTATCAATACTTGAAAGAATAAGATTTAAATATTTAATTTTTTATGATTAATGTATTTTTGTCCAATCAAATCAAACTAAGTAAATTTTGAAAAATATTTAGATAGATTGGGTGTATCATGTGATTTGTGATTTATTTAATAAAAACATACTCCCATCGTTAAAAAATATAAGATATTTTTAACCGAATCTCACCCTCAGTAAAGTAGTTACTTACTTTCTAACTAACCCCATCTTTTTATATTTACCTCTATTAAACACCCTATAATAAATATAAAGTTATTATCAATAGGGACACTTTTAAAAAAGGCAATGATTACACCTTAAAACATTAAAGATACCTTATATTTTTAAACATTTAACTTCTCAAAAAATACTTTATATTTTTAAATGAAGGGAGTAATATTTATATGATATTAAATATAAATTTATTTTGATATTAATAATAATAAAGAAAGAAAAGGAAAAAAATCAAATATAAATTATGTTATAAAAATTAAATTAATTTAAAAAATATCACACAAAATTTTATTTAAATTATTTAAAATATTTTAATTAAATAAATTATAAATGATATAACACATCTGATTTACTTAAGTATTTTTTGTGATTTTTAGTATATTAATAATGTTAATAATAAAAATTTATTATAGAATAAATAATATATAAAAAAATTAAATTTATAAATTTAAATAAAAATAAATATTTTAAATATCCAGATTGAAAACAATCCAGATTGATTTATGTCAGGGTCAAATCACTCATTATGTACGTTGGACCTTCCCCAAATGTGAGATTTGATATATATATGTATATATATTTACATTACATCTTTTGATTACCAGAAAAAGAAAATATGCTGAGGAAATTACGTGCCACTCAGGATGCACAGTGAATCTTAATTACCAAAAAGCATTAGATAGTGATAATGTTAAAAAAATAGGGGTGAATAATTATTAACAATAATCCAGCTGACTTCTTATCGTAGTCCTTGCCGTCCCCTGCAGCAACCCTTGGGGCTTGTTCTATATAAACTCCAGTGCGTGGAGATGCATAAGAATACTTGTTTGGTCATTTTATTGTCGCAAGTCTTTCTTTCGGTCGTCCCTAATCAATGGCGCAGAACAACGGTGTTCCCTCCTCCGGCGACGGCCTCATCCTCAGCTTCGGTGAGATGCTCATTGATTTCGTCCCCACCGTCTCCGGCGTCTCCTTGGCCGAGGCTCCCGGATTCCTCAAAGCCCCCGGCGGCGCTCCTGCCAACGTCGCCATCGCCGTGTCCAGGCTCGGTGGCCAGGCCGCCTTCGTCGGCAAGCTCGGCGACGACGAGTTCGGTCACATGCTCGCCGGGATCTTGAAGCAAAACGGCGTCAGATCTGATGGCATCACCTTCGACCAGGGTGCACGTACTGCCTTGGCCTTCGTCACCCTACGCGCTGACGGCGAGCGCGAGTTCATGTTCTACAGAAATCCAAGCGCTGATATGCTCCTCAAGCCAGAAGAGCTCAACCTCGAACTCATCAGATCGGTATGGATCTCTTCCCGTTTTTTCTTTCTTTTTTGCTTCGGCTTTTTGACTCCCGCCGAAGATCAAGTTTCTTGGAAAATTTACGATTTTTTCCGGCAAAGTTTTCGCGCTTCACGAACCGTGGGAGGGGAGGCTATGGGTCACGTTCTTTTTCTGAAATCGGTGCTGCCGCGTCAATTTCATTCTAGTGGGCCCCATGGGTAGATCTAGGAGATGATGATACTCGAAGATTACGCCGCGCAGGATTTTTTTTTTGGGGGAAATACAGGGATCCGGTTATTGATGGGGCAATGCGTTACCGATCCCTCTGAATCTGATTGAGATTTAATCAGATCGGACCGCAAAGTTGGGAGGGTCGGTGACATGTCACGTGAGCTCACTTGCTTCTCCCTCTTCCAACACCCAGATCATTTTGAATCTTTGTTCGCCGTTATTTTTTTCAGTTCTCAATCTTCGCGGTAATTCCCGGGAATTGACATGTGGGTTGGGTCCCACTCCCATCTATTGGATCTCAGCATCTCTGTGCCTTCACTCCAACAATTTGATATTTTAAAAAGCCTTTTAATTTTCAATTTTCTTATCATTAGTTTTGAGCCCGTGAATCTCACGCCCTACAACACTAATGACTTCATTGACTTGAGAGCCGACAAACTTATCTTGGTGTTAGACGGTTAGAGGGCAGCTGCGAGTCTTGGACCCCATAGTGGCGAACGCCCTCACGCGCTTCTTCCCCTGATTTTCCCCATAAATATAGGATTAGTATACGAGGACAACCCGTATATCTGTTCGTATCGTTGTTTTTGTTTTCTTTTGGTCAAATATGGCTATTTATTTTATAACATCTTGTTTTTGGATTTGTGGGCCGCGTCTGTTGTTGAGAGGTTGTTGGCAATGAGTAATGTGGTGGCTGTAGCGACTAGTCTTTATGTTTGCTTGTTGATCAAGGCCCACAATTTACAGCCTAGCTGGCACGTGCAAATTTAAAATGAATTTACTGGAGGCCCCTGCCTTGCGTGGTACAATAATGTATTCACGTGACGACATTAGAATTCAGATTCAGAATTATACAATATGTAATTCGATGTAACAGATTACAATATGGATTATACATGGAAAAGTCCTACTTGTATTTGGGGAAAAAAAATAAAAAAGGAATAATGTCACAATTTTTGTAACCATGGGTAAAATTGGCACGGATTTACTGTTGACTACAATTACCCAGGCTAAAGTATTCCATTACGGATCGATAAGCTTGATCGTGGAGCCGTGCAGATCGGCACACCTAAAGGCAATGGAAGTTGCCAAAGAAGCTGGGTGCTTACTGTCTTATGATCCAAACCTGAGGCTGCCTTTATGGCCTTCGGCTGACGAGGCCCGCAAGCAAATACTGAGCATATGGGATAAGGCAGATGTAATCAAGGTCAGTGATGTGGAGCTCGAGTTCCTTACCGGTAGTGACAAAATCGATGATGCTTCTGCCATGTCATTGTGGCATCCCAATTTAAAGTTGCTGCTCGTGACTCTTGGTGAGCATGGTTCCAGATACTACACCAAGGTAAAATCAGATTACTTGCCTTTTTTTTAAATTAAAAAAAAATTTAATCTACTGACTAATGTTCTTGTTGAACCTGCATACCATTTTACATTCAGTTTTGATTGGTGGGCTTGGGCAAACAGTGACTCTTAGCTCCTGCATGAGTTTGAGGCATTATAGATAAATTACACTTCGAGATCATAGCTGGATGAATGATAAAAGATGTAAAAATCTGTCTTAAATTGTTTTACTTCGAGACTTCGGTTAAATTTTAAAATTTTAAGTTACTTGAGATTGATCCTGAAGTGTATTTTTCCCGAATTGGGTTGATGTTTGGTTAATTGGCTATTGTGGGAATTCGTTTAAATGCCTTTCTCATTAGTTGTGTTGTATACCTACTGCGTGACGTATTTGAGTATGGAATGGATTGAAGGAATACGAGGGCGTCGTAACAAATTGTTGCTTTGGTTTTTAGCGCATGTCTACTTTCACGAGTTTAATTTTATGTGCCTATGAATAATTATTTTTATCCTGTTATGCAAAAAACCAGAATTTCCATGGATCGGTGGACGCTTTTCATGTCAACACAGTTGATACAACTGGCGCTGGTGATTCTTTTGTTGGCGCCCTCTTGTGCAAGATTGTCGACGATCAATCCGTACTTGAAGTAAGTTCTTAGATACGGCCGGCTAATTAAACCTCTGCATTGCTCACCAAGAAATAATCTGCAGTAGCTTTTTCTGTTGTAAAATCGCAAGCCTTTATTATACATGCTTGATATATTGTTAAAGTTCTCTAATAGTTTATTTTGTCACAAATTTCATTGCTAATTACAGGATGAAGCAAGGTTGAGAGAAGTCCTGAAGTATGCAAATGCTTGTGGAGCAATCACAACCACAAAAAAGGGAGCAATTCCCGCCCTTCCCACGGAGGCTGATGTGCGCAGCCTGATCAATGGGGCATAGAGTGTCTTGATTTTTAGTTTCCTTTTTTACCCCTCCTTGCCTTGCTTATCCTTCCGAGTTGCTTGTTATCAAATTAAGAGCGACATTGTCTCTCGGCTTTCTCTCTAGTGTTTTTTTTTTTTCACCCTTTCTGCTTTGATGGGAAGCGCCACATGCTTTCTTGTTTGCAAAATAATGTGTTCGTTAAATTTTGGGATTAGGCTTTAAACGAAAATTTGAATCATATGGCCGACGTTACTTGCAGCTTTCTAATCCACCTTTTTTGAACTTAAAAAAAAAAAAACGATTCGTGCCATTTAGTACATAGAAAATAAATTCAAGTCTTAAGAGATGCCGAAAAAGAAAGTTGGACTTGTCCTGCAGGAGGGAGGGCCACCGAATGAATGCAGTTAGCATTACACGCATGGGAAACGTGCACGTAAAAGTTTGATTCAACCAGCCATGACTGATCGAGTTGTAACGGACAACGTAATTCTCATTCCAACGAGAATTATTATTCTTCCTACTAGCTATGTTCTCGAAGCAAATGAACTGATTCAGACGACTGAGTCTCCAAATCTTAAATATGCGGATTACATGAGTGAATTATAAACATCAATCGTGCCTTTTGTTTCGGGAATTCCTGCTTCTCGAACTAGCAATGTGCCTGCCTCCTTCTGAAGCAACTTGGTCCATAACAACCTGCGAGGTGAGTTATAGAGTTACACGAACCATTCGTATTGTTGTCAAAGGAAATTTGGCCTCAAAAGAAGGCTCATTTAACGATTAAAGTACTCATTGATCTCTTTCTCGCGCACTTCATTTTGCGGCTGGTAAAAGGGGGCATAGTTGGACAAAGTGACCAATCAAAAACATAACTAGAGCACAATAGCCTGAGGATGGCATTCATCAACCTCCATCTTCAAGAACTTCCAAGCATATGCACATCTTTCCCACTTTGCTCGCATGTGAGCCATAAAAGACTCTGCCCATTTTTCACTGCTCCCTCTTGTGCTCAGATCATAAGGCACCGAAAAACTATTCAAACATGATGAGACTGTCAATACTTGATTATCGGTATAATAATATCAGAATTGTAAATCTCTTCCTGCAGGATGCCGTCTGTTCAAAATTAAAACTAGAAGAATAAAAAATGCAATTTCATTACGACAATGTCCCAGCAATTGATGAATGCACTTCCTGAAATGAGCTCTCCATGTTAAAAACTAGACACTTAAGATCTAAAACCCATGGCAAGAGCCGCGCCCTACATTGTCAATGTGCAGCAGAGTGGAGCTTTAATATCACCTTCTCAAGCAAAGTCAGATGCACGACCATAAAGGTGTATTTTTTTAAAAAAAATAATATGTCTAAGTATGAATTTTACTTAACAAGCTCTTCGCACAAAATTGCACCATCCATAGAAAATATCAGCGCAATGTATAAACCTACTTCAGTAAACTAGTTTCTGACGTTACAGTTTATGTCAATAGTAAAGCCATGTCGTGAATGGCTTCATGCCTTTATTTTTTCATTATTACGATCAATAAACGGAATAATTATTTAACCTCTCTGCTGCACAAAGAAATATATAACTTAGCTGCATAAATCGTTAGTATCTCAACACTTGTTGCTATCATTGATCTCCCCCCATTCTTCCAGGCATGCACTACTTTATAATCCTAAGCCTATGTAATTCGTGGATGCCAAATTTCCAATAGCTTAAATAGTTAGTTTTGCACAATTACCAAAGATTCTGTTATAATGTTCAACTAAATCTTATTCACAAATTCAGATTTACCTTAACAGTTCTTCTGCTTGAGATTCTTTCTTGAGGGTATGATTCCTGCAAGAGCTCAAATTTCACGTCACTAAGGATATTGTATATAAGGGGTAAGAATAACATCGACATTGCTATTAGAAGGAGTAAATTAAATTTTGTCAGCCAATGAGTAATATCAAATATCCTCTAGCTGTTGACAAGATGCCAAGTGCTATGTTACATTCCTTTGACTCTACACATGAACCAACTAATAATGGATATCCCTTCAGCCTTTTTTAGATTTTGTTTCAATTTTTCTCAAATATGGTGATCAAAGTCACTGAGGCAAGATGCTATTCAATGTTAGCACCTACGACTCATGAGAGGGACTGCCTCCAGCTAGCAGTGGTGGAACCAAGACTCAGAGTCATAGGGTACAAGATAATTTAATTTAAAAATTAATGTTTTCTTAAATAATAATTTCAAATAATTAAAAGTAATAATTACATTAGGACTGAAATTATAATAACATAAGTAGATTGATCATCATTGTTCTTTCTAAAAAATTATATTGAACATGTTAATATGATTCTTTTATGTAAATATCTTCTTCATATCTTATTTTGATCATTAAAATTTTATATATCTAATAAGCTTTCAAGCCCAAATTAGAGGATGCAAAATATTAAGAGTAGGCTGCAAAGTTGCAAAATTTAAATTCCCTACTTGTAATTTTTCCCAAATTAAGGGGATGCATTTGCCCTCCCTCACAACAAAGTGGCTACACCACTCGCAACCACCAACGAGGCACTACTAGGCAAGACCTTTAGGTCTCTTATTTTTCCTTTCAAGCCAGTGCCTTAGGCGCCCCTACATGCTTGGAAGCAAAAGGGGTAAAGTTAACTTAATAGTTCAGCCCAATTTGAAAGTAGCAATAAGTTAAATAGGAAACTAAAATACCTAATTTTAGAAGTCCAGCCCAACCTTAGAGATTTCAGAATAGGGTAAAATAGTTATTATTTTAAAATATCATTTAAGCTATTAGTAGTTTATGGTTAACAGCCACAAATAACCCAAAAAAAAAAAAGTTGCCCACAAGGAACTGCAGACTGTGTCCCAAACCAGAATCACAGCAAAGAGTGATAAATAAGACAGCAACAGCAATTAATATGAGATGAAAATACTTAGGTTTTGATATTAATGAGATGAATAACCGAATTAGATGTACATGGGAGCTCTGATTCTGGCCCAAAACCCTATTTCCTCTAAAAGATGATAAAACACTCTAGCAACACAGATTACAAGCTTCAATACAAGAGTCTCACTCCCATTGGCATTCGAGAGGCCAATCTCTCCTTACTATTCCAGTCTCATTCTTCTTAGCCCTCCCTTCCTAAATAAAAGACTACTAATACCTTCAGTGGCTGACACATCGCCCATACTAACCAAAAGATCCCAATCATTACAAAAGATCACAAAATACTGTTCCTTACGGCTATGGATTGAAGGGTAAACTTCTAGACTAGTTCAAGTATTTCCACTAGAGTTATTCTTCCCCTTTGACTTCCTCTGATATGTCTTAGGAAAATAACGGGCCCTATCATCACCCTCCCCTAAGAGCTCCACCTTGTCCTCAAGGGGAAAAGTTGGAAACTGTTTGCAAATTGTTTCTGCACATTCCCAAGAGTTCTCAAATTCAAGTAAGCCTTGCCATTTAACCAACACTTCTCGCTGTCCATTCATAAGCCGGCGCACCTTCCTAATGTCTTGAGGCTGCACTTGTAATTCAAACTCATTAGAAAGCATCGTAGGGATGGTAGGCTGTGCCACAGCAGCTGAAACCATTTGCTTGAGCTGAGAAACATGAAATACGGGGTGAATGCGGGCGGTGGTTGGAAGTTCCAGCTTGTAGGCCACTGTTCCGATCTTCTCAAGAACCTTGAAAGGTCCACAAAAAGGCGAGCTGAGCTTCTCATTGCTCCTCTTGGCTAAGGTTTTTAGTCGATAAGGGCGAAGCTTCACATAAACAAAGTCCCCAATCTCAAATTGCACGTCCTGGCGATGCTTATCAGCTTGCGCCTTCATTTTACTTTGAGCCTTAGCTAAATTGTCCCTTAATTGTTCAATGATCTGATTTCGAGCTTGAATCTGTTCACTCACATCTTCCACAACTGAAGGTTCGCCACTAAATTTTAGAAATGTAGGTGGATCCCGGCCATATACCGCCTTGAAAGGTGTCATGCCAGCCGCACTATGGAATGAAGTATTGTACCAATATTCAGCCCAAGACAACCATTTAGCCCATTGAGTTGGTTTTTCATTAGCAAAACAGCGCAAGTAAGTCTCCAAACTCCTATTTAACACTTCCGTCTATCCATCTGTTTCCGGATGATACAATGAGCTAAGGCAAAGTTGGGTTCCAGCTTGCTTGAACAATTCTTGCCAAAATTGGCTAATGAAAATTCTGTCTCAATCTGAAACTATGGTTTTAGGGAAACCATGCAACTTCACAACCTCATTCACAAACTTTTCAACAACATCCTTTGCAGAAAAAGGGTGGGCAAGAGTGAAAAAATGAGCATATTTGGTGAGTCTATCCACTACCACTAGAATGGTGTCATACCTTTTTGATTTAGGAAGCCCGGTAATGAAATCCATGCTAATGTCTTCCCAAATGTTTTGAGGAATGGTTAACAGCTGTAACAGACCAGCAGGAGTTAGCGCTTGATATTTATTCTTTTGACAGATCTCACAACTCGCCACATATTGCTGAACATCCCTTTTAATTCCTTCCCAATACACCACATTGGACAGCCTCTTGTAGGTGCGTAAGTAGCCCGAATGCCCCCCTATTGGAGAATCATGATATTCCTTCAATAACAAGGGAATTCTGGTGGAATTTTTTTGGTAAGACTAACCTCTCTTTATAGTGTAGGCAGCCATGAACTAAGCTGTACCCTTCCACCCCAGTTTTATCAGTTAGGAGTTGCTGTAGAATTTTGCTCAATTTTGGGTCTGCTTGCACCTCCTTCTCCCATTCTTCCACATCATTATATTGCCATAATGAGAATCCCATTAGTTCCAGTGATTCTTCTCTTCTGGATAGGGCATCAGCAGCCCTATTCTCTTTTCCGGGCTTGTAAATAATCTCAAACTTGAAGCCCATTAATTTTGACACCCATTTCTGCTGGTTTTCATCAACCACTCTCTGCTCCAGCAAGTACTTCAGTGCTTTTTGATCTGTACGGATGATAAATTTATGCCCCCAAAGGTAATGGCGCCATTTTTTAACTGACATAACAATAGCCATAAGCTCTCTTTCATAAATAGAGCATTGTTGGGCTCTATGTGAGAGCTTTTGGCTAAAATATGCCACTGGTCTGCCTTGTTGCATCAAAACTGCCCCTATTCCGGTACTAGACGCATCAGTCTCAAGCTCAAAAGGAATGGTAAAATCGGGCATTGCAAGCACTGGCAGTGAAGTCATGGCAGTTTTGAGCTGTTCAAATGCCTTTTTCGCTTCCACTGACCACTTGAAAGAATCCTTTTCAAGTAAATCAGTAAGGGGGCTAGCAATCTTCCCATAGTTCTTGACAAATCGACGATAGTACCCGGTCAGCCCAAGGAAACCCCTCAAAGACTTCACATTCTTAGGCTTTGGCCATTTCACCATGCTCTCTATCTTAGCGGGATCAGCTTGAACTCCTTCTCTTGATATCAGATACCCCAAGTATTCAATCTTGGGTTGTATGAAACTACATTTCTTCAAATTAATCACAAGCTGATTTTCCTTTAAGATAGCAAATACAGTCTCCAAATGCTTTAAATGAGTGGTTAAGTCATCACTATATATGAGAATGTCATCTAAAAATACCAATACAAACTTGAGTAAATACTCCCTGAATACCTCATTCATCAAGGATTGGAAGGTTGAGGGAGCATTGGTTAATCCAAAGGGCATCAACTTGAACTCATAATGTCCTTCATGTGTTCTAAATGCTGTTTTGTGTTCATCCCCAGCCTTAATCCGAATTTGGTGGTATCCAGACTTCAAATCCAGCTTGGAGAAAATTTTGGCTCCCTTCAATTCATCCAATAGTTCATCTATGGCTGGAATAGGAAATTTATCCGGGATTGTAATTTTGTTTAAGGCCCTCTAATCAATACAAAACCTCCAACTTCCATCTTTCTTCCTGACCAAAAACACTGGACTTGAGTATGGGCTGTTGCTTGGCTGAATAATTCCAGCCTGTAACATGTCCTTCACCAAACCTTCTATTTCGTTTTTCTGCATATGGGGGTATCGATAGGGCCTTATGTTCGGTGGCTGCTCTCCAGGTTTAATAAGAATAGCATGATCTTGTGAACGGGTTGGAGGTAGGCCTTCAAGAACTTGGTAGACAATAGGATATTTCTCCAATAACTCATGAATTTCAGGAGAAAAAATGAAAGTACTTTCATTGCTGCCCGTGAGCCCACTATATTCAATCAGAAACCCCTCTCCTTTCTTTCCTACAGAGTGAATTAGTGACCTGAAAGTAGCCTGAGCCCGAGTAAGAGATGGATCACCCTGCAAGCAAATTCTCTTTACTTTCTTGCCAATCTTCATTGTTAACTTGCTCCAATTGACCTTCACATCCCCCAGGGATTTCAACCACTCCATTCCCAAGACTGCATCAACCCCTTTCAACGTGAAAGGATAGAAGGTTTGAATGATTTGGTACCCCTGGACACTCAAACAGAGGTCCTTACACCTTTTCCTCCCTTTTACAACAAACCCATCACCCACTGTAACCGTATATTCAGAAATCTCATCAAAAGATAATTTCAATTTACTCTGCAGATTTTCAGCGATGAAGTTATGGGTAGCGCCACTGTCAATCAGAATTATCACTTCAGTGCCTCCGATCCTCCCTTTAACCTTCATAGTGTGATTATTGCCGAATCCATCCATGGAATTGAGAGATAATTCCATCTGTGCCCCTTCATCAGCATTTTCGAATTCCCCTCCTTCAAGTTCAGCCTCTGCGTCATCTTCCTCTCTCTCCTTTTCCGCCCCCATCTCCATTATCAGTACCTGAAGGTTCTTGTTTTTGCACTGGTGGGTCGGGCTGTATTTATCTCCACACTTGAAACACAGTCCTAACTCACGTCGCCTTGCAATCTTAGCGTCAAAGAGTTGTCGCGAGTTTCCCGTCCTCTTCGTCGACGATCCCCAATTCGAAATGCTCGCAACCTTGGAATGCTCTGTTTTCGTATCCGTTTTCTTCAAATTTTCAGCAGCTGAAGACGTTGCAGTATGCATGTTGCGATTCCCTTCAGTCACGTGCGTAACTCGTGTGGAATAAATGGGTTGCAGCGTTTCGAGTTTGGGCCCAAACTGAGGACGTTGGGTTCGGGTGATCCGGGTTTCTCTGCAATCTCCAAGTATCCGATTCCTCTCCTCTATACACACCGCCATCTCCATCAGCTCTCGCAGTGTCGGAGTTTTCGTTAACTTCAACTCAACTCTGATCTCTGGTTTTAACCCAGAACGGAACGCACCGATCAAGCATTCTTCAGAGGCCTCCTTCAGCGGCGCAGATAAGAGCTCGAATTCTTCAACAAATTCCAGCACCGTCCTGTCCTGTCTGGATGTGAACAATCGCTCATATTCCCCCCTGGCTAAGAGGAGTAAAACCTGCGTAGCAACTCACTCTTGAACTCCGTCCAGTGACTCAGAGGTATCCTGGTCTCCAACCATTGGTACCAATTTAATGCCTTACCCTCAAGACATACCACCATAGCCTCAAGCTTATCTCGTTCTACAATGGAGTTAACATGGAAATATCTCTCCACCCGAAAAAGCCATCCCAACGGGTGCTCGCCTGAAAAAACAGGTAATTCTAACTTTCTATATTTGCTTTCGTCTGTATCACCGCCTGGGTTGCTCACCGAAACCTCCTCATGACCTTCCTGTTCGTTTGCACGTGGCCCGGTTATCTTCTTCTCTATTTGCACCAGGGCATCATTAATAGTCTTTAATGTTTCTTTAATACCGTTTACATCTCGGGTCAATACCCCAACCGTTTCCTTCAGTTCCTGTACCTCCAGATCAGCATACTGGACCCTTTCCGCCATATCTCCTTACACACCACACCCAGAGATTGTACCTACTCTGATACCAAATAATGTGTCCCAAACCAGAATCACAGCAAAGAGTAATAAATAAGACAGCAATAGCAATTAATATGAGAGGAAAATACTTAGATTTTGATATTAATGAGATGAATAACCGAATCAGATGTACATGGGAGCTCTGATTCTGGCCCAAAACCCTATTTCCTCTAAAAGATGATAAAACACTCTAGCAACATGGATTACAAGCTTCAATACAAGAGTCTCACTCCCATTGGCATTCGAGTGGCCAATCTCTCCTTACTATTCCAGTCTCATTCTTCTTAGCCCTCCCTTCCTAAACAAAAGACTACTAATACCTTCAGTGGCTGACACATCGCCCATACTACCCAAAAGATCCCAATCATTACAAAAGATCACAAAATACTGTTCCTTATGGCTATGGACTGAAGGGTAAACTTCTAGACTAGTTCAAGTATTTTCACTGGAGTTATTCTTCCCCTTTGACTTCCTCTGATATGTCTTAGGAAAATAACGGGCCCTATCAAACTGCAGACACACCTATTTTTTGAGCAATAAAGTTGATTTATTAACTTCATAGACATATGGCTTAAATAATGACTTCATAAGCACATTTAACAATTAACATCGTGAATTATGACTTATTGATTTTCATGCTTGAGTAGAGATGCTTAAATAGTTAATTATATGTCAAATGTTATTCAAAATTTAAATATCTATATTTTCCCCCTAATGCATATCACCTAAAGCATTTTAGAAGTCCAACACCTTAAAAGGCACACTTTGCTTTTGACCATCTTGCTCTGAACACAATATAATTTTGAAATATATATATATATATATATCCAGCAAAATTTCATCCAATTTCAATGTCAGACAGATAAAGGCAGTTTCAGAACAGAAATCATACAGGCTCACTTAGAACTTCCTACCTGCAGATGGATAATTGGAAAATGTGGAGATATTTGGTGGAAAGATTATAAATAGCATCAGCAATGTGCTCCTTGCTGAACAGATACACCACCGGATAGCCTAGAAGCCATCTGAAGCACATAAATACAGCGTCAATGAGTTAAAATGAGATAGTACTAACACATATTGCATGTTTGGAGTGGCAGGAAAATGCATGCACTATTCAGTGGCATTGCCTACAGGTGGTACAATTCAAGATGAGATCCCAAGTAGTGTAAATATTAAGAAAGTGATTGCCTTCATACAAGCTAGCTTTATATTGTATTCTGAGATTAGAACATAGCATACTAATGGCAGGCAGGCTGCAACTTGAGAAAGTATTATTATCATATTGTAGCCAGCCCCCCTAGCCGACCCCATCTAGTGGGATAAAGGCTTATTGTTGTTGTTTGTTTGTTTGTTTGTTTGTAGCCAGCCCCTTCATTTGGACTATCCCTCTCTGGGAAGGACAAGGGAAAATAACCAAGACCAAAAGATTTTGTGTGTGTGCAAATGAACCATACCAGAAGAGCAATATAAATAAACAGAACTTCAGGGAATTACCCATTCAAGGTTGGTACTGTCACTTTAGAGTCCTTCATACAATTGCTGAGATCAATGCACTCAGTAGACTGAGAATAAAAAATCTGACAGCAAGTGGATTGGGAATTATCCATAGGCTCTGTGCCTTGAGATGATGATAGATTGTGTATTCCCTCATGAGTAAATATTGATGAGAACAACTTCTGAATTGATATGAGTTGCAATGCTAATGGGCTTTTCTCTATCTCTGTTATCATCTGAATGTATGTTTAAGGTAAATAAAAGGAAAAAAAATTATAAAAAGGGGAAGGTGTATATATATATATGTTTTTTTTTTTTGGGGGGGGGGGCTTGAATCTTATTCCAAAGCAGGAAAAAACCTGTGGAGGTTCCTGTTCAAGGTCCACAAAGACCAACTTTACTTCCGAGTTTAAAGTTGATCTAACATGCTCAGCTAACCCTTTTATGTGGATCAAGTAAATCATATCTTGTATAATCATCACCCTTAGAAGCTCAAAAACCGGCGACAGCTGAAAAAGGTATAAATACCAAGCAATTGATTTCCTAAATGAGAAGGTCCATATTGAGCCAAATGAACATAAAACATCGCAAGGATGAAGAATTGCAGCTCTCACAGACACCAAGAGAATCTACTGCGCAACGGCGTTAAGTTGAGGTAGATATAGAAGTGAAATAGAAAGAGCAGTTCAAACCTTTAGACAAAGTTCGAGGAGTGAACAAAGATGGTGCTGTAGCTCAGGCATCTTTCCACCATAGTCCACCATGACAACAGGTCTCATTCCTGTGGATAGGGCCAGAATATCTGCCACAAAATTATAGGAGTCACCATATCACCTGATAGAGTAAGATTTCATCGGAGTTCAAATGTAAAAGCAAATGGCGGACTTAAATATGTAGTCTGAAACATATATCGCATGGTGCTCAGAAAAACTTGAATTAGTTAATAAAAGAACCTAATTCTAATCGGCGCTTGGTAGAAGGCTTGAGGCGCCATTTGATCTGAGCTAAAGAGGAATCTAACACTTTCACAGCTTCGTCCAACACTGCAAGATCGCCAGGAAAGCATGCTTGTTTGTTGGAGGATTCCACGCGGCCCTCTTCCATTTCCAATACGTTTCCTTCCCTCACGCTCGCACGAGAACCAATCAGCACTCGCTCCAAAATGACAACTTTGAATATGCAAACGACCAGGACACTACCTCAAACGACGGGTGTTGTTGATCTAGAGGATGGGCCACAGACCACAGTGTCGCCGCGCTGTTTTGGATTTACTTTTTTTTTTTTGGCCAGTGTGCCTGTTGTAAGATTTAATAATGATAATTTAGACCAAGAACGCTTACATCAATTGATAAGAGATTGTCCTAATTTAATCAAAAGTCTTAAGTTTAAACTTTAAAAATACAGCTAGTTTGATAAATCCTTCAAAAAAATGTAGTAGAGGCTTTTTTAATCAGAATTAAACTCTTAAAATTTTATTAATTTAATTTTTTTCTAACTCATATTCAAAAAAATTTAAGTAAAATAAAATGTATAAATTTAGATGTTAGCGATAGAGTTGTAAAGTTGTAGGCTCAAATTAGTTAAATTTAGAAAGAAAAAATGGGTAAAATTTGGACTAGGACACTAAAAGCTATCATGTAAAAAAAAAAAAGATAATTTAAATAGTGTGTAGACTTATTACTTTAAACGTTTTCCGGCAACGATACATTGATAATTACTACTGAATAATTTATATAAAAAAAACTATTATCGTCACATTCAAACGAAATGGCATTCAGTTTCAGTGTGAGCAATCTGATTATCTGATGCAGATTTTTAATTTGAATGGTTTAAATTTATTATTTTTATTTTATATTTTATATTTATTATAAAAAATTATAAAATTGTAATAAATTTACTTTATCATCCATCTCTAATCCATCTCTAATCGGGATAATGTAAATTAAATCTATATAATCTAATGTAATATTATTTTTTAAAATTTTTTTATAAAATTGATTACCTAAATATACTCTAGATAGTTAGATAGTTAATTTATAAAAATTTTAAAAATTAATATTAAATTAAAAATTATTTAAATTAAATATGCAATATCCAAATTAATAATAAAATAAATTTTTTAAATTTTAAACTAAACTATCTAAATTTTTTATCTAATAGTAATAAGCACAAAGTTGCTCTTTAAAAGCCGATGAAGTGAGTATAGAGGTGAAAATATGTTAAGCTGAATTAAGTTTTAGCCAAATAAATTCAAGTATGTCTAATAAGTCAAATGTTTGAGTTTAACTTCAAACTTACATAAAGTTTTTTTCATGGCTCAAGATTAAATTTGGCCTAAAGTCTGGATAAGAATTTTTTCATGACTCAAGTTTGAACTTATTTAAGGCATAATTTAATTTAAAAGCTTACTTAAAAATAAATATTTTAAATAAACTTAATTTGTTAATTACAATATATAATAATTAAAAAGACTTACCAATTATAATATAACATAATAATAAAGTGATAACATTAAAATTAATATATGAGTTTAATTTGATTGACAACATGATTAGAAATAAAAAAGAATGGATTGATTAAAAATAAAATGATGAAACTAATATATATGTTGAAAAATTACATAATATGTGCGTGTGTGTATAAATAGGTTGTATTGTTAAGCTTATAAATTAGGTTTTAAAATAAATAAATCTGATCTATTTAATTAAATAAATATAATTAAAAGCTTGAATTTATTTAATAGATAAGTTAAGTTAAACCTGAAACACGCTAGGGTATAAGTCTCAACAGGCCCAGATTTATTTCCACGTTTAAGTACGAGTGAGCATATATACTAGGATATGCTATTGGAATTTTAATTTCACAAATATTCTTTTTTTTCTTTTTTCTTTTTTCTTAACACTGTGAACTGATTACACGGACTGTCTTCGTCCCCACGTATTCTCTCACGTTCTAAAGCGACAAACGACATTGTAATTTGCCAGAACGACACAGCGTGGTGCTCCTACTGGTTGTTGCTCGCGGTGGAGGCGTTTCCCAGATCTTGGTTTCACATCTCTCAAACCCGATCTGATAAGGAAAGTGCAAGCCAATTATCATATTCATTGAATCGATATTCTTAAGAAAAGTCGACAAACTCCGAAATCGCAAAGTTCTACAGTGTCAGACTTTCTCATCGCCGCCCCTTCTTTGTTTTTCTACTTCAAGGTTTCTTTTTATCTTCTTTTATTTTTAAGAGTTTGCTTTCGTCTGTTATTCTGGCGATTCCGGATTTCGGCGTGCTTAAGTTGTTTCTGGCTGTACTGCATATCGATAGGTATAGGCATGTACAATAACGTGGGATCCCAACCCCAAACCCTACCCGGGGCACCTCTACCACCCGCAAGTTCTCAACCTAATCCATTTGGTAGTGCTTTTCAAGTGGCCGGTTCAGGACTTATTCGAGGTGGGTTGCATGCATACGGCGAGAAGATTTTTGGATCAAGCTCTGAGTATGTCCAAAGCAATGTAAGTGCTATTCTAGTTACGTCCTTTAATGGTTTATTTCACCATATTGATCGCGCCTCGACATATAAGAGGTGTTAAATGATAATCACCTTTTCATTTCTCGTAATCTGCATTTGAAATGTACTAATTACTATATGCCTTCTTATATTCAATTTCAGCTACCTTTGATATAAGCTAATGCAGCTGACCAGCCTTAAATTGCTCTATCTGCTTAAGTTTCTTGAATTCATTTGTTTTTATTTACAAAATGACCTCCTCTTTTGTGTGACAGATAAGTAGGTACTTCTCTGATCCTCAGTACTATTTCCAAGTGAATGACCAATATGTCAGGAACAAACTGAAGGTTGTTCTGTTTCCATTCCTGCACAGGGTACGCTGAAATGTAACATTTCTTCCGTTCCTTTTTTTACGGCTATATGTTAGATTATTTTATCTTCTTTCCTCCCCTATTATTTTCTTTTCGGATTCAGGGTCACTGGACAAGAATAACTGAGCCGGTAGGAGGCAGACTTTCCTATAAACCACCAATTTTTGACATAAATGCTCCGGACTTGTATATTCCTTTTATGGCATTCGGTACCTATGTTGTTCTTGCTGGCCTCTCACTGGGTCTCCGGGGGAAGTAAGTTTCCTGTTAACTCTAAATAATGCTGTGTTTTCTTCTTTTTTGCATTTCAGTTTTGTAATACTAGAAACTTGCTGATGATGACGGATTAAATGTTTTCTTTTCAAATTTCGTACCTCTTATCTCGTTGTCTGTGTAAACTTATGTTACTTAACAAGCGCAAGTCATGACCTATGAGTACTCAGTTTCTTATTTTTGCATAAGGTAAGAAATGTTTTTTCCTTGGTAAGCATAGTTATGTTTCTTTATTTTGCTGAAATTATTTACATTCAAGAGTCTTGCTGTTTGCATGCTTTACTGCTTGGCGTCAAAAGTGATTAAAGGACTACCAAAATGCCACTTACAGCATAATTAAAGACTCTTGAATTGCTTCTAAGTACTGTAACCTGATTTAAGGCTATCTGATATTGTCTTTTTCCTTGCTACTGATCTTATAAGCTTTACAAGATGTTGCTGAAGTCTTGGGTAGAAATAAGAGTGTGCATTTGCACCTTTTTGAGGTTGGGGGTAAAGAATTTTCGCTGAAACAAGTTTTCGACGCTGTTTTTCCTTGCCCTGAACATGATTGGATGCCCAAGAAATAATCAGCGCTCTGGATAGTATTGATATTGCTATTTGCCTTGTCATTATTCATATGAAATTTTCAGAATGGAATCTTGGTCATATACTACCTAGACTTGTTAGCCTGATATGTGAGCAATAATTTTTCAGATCTTCTACCTCTGCTTTCTTTTGAACTTGTAACAGTTTTCTGAAAAAGCTTAATTGATTTTCAGATTTAGCCCAGAAGCTTTGAATTGGTTGTTCATCAAGGGACTGCTTGGTTGGTTTCTGCAAAGTGCACTGCTGAAGGTGACATTACTTTCATTGGGTAGTGGGGAGGCACCCCTGCTTGACATTATAGCATATGCTGGATATACTTTTACGGGCATATGTTTGGCTGTCCTTGGTAGACTTATTTGGGGCTACTGCTACTACTTCTTGATGCCATGGGCCAGTTTATGCATGGGAATATTCTTGGTTCAGACAATGAAGAGAGTACTCTTTGCAGAGGTTCGGAGTTATGATTCGAGCAAGCACCACTATCTCTTGCTCTTTATTGCTTTGGTTCAGTTCCCTTTGTTTACTTGGCTTGGCAACATTACTGTCAATTGGCTTATATAGAACTTTAGCTTCTACTCTATCCTTGGAAAATAAAGTTGTTCCTCAGGAGTTTTATGTTTTGTTTTAGGCATTAATGTTGATATCTTAACTTGTTTTACCATACTTCCTTTTCCCCCGTTTCAGGGATTAGCACAACGGGGAATTGTAACCTTCGGATTTCTTTTGTCACCCTTAGTGTTGGTTAGGTTGGCGGAAGAAATGTCTCTTCAGAAACGCATAAACTCCAAATATTTACTGAATATTTTGTTTATAACTTATCTAGTAGCTTCTGAAACATTTTTCAACATGAAAATCTTTTATAAAAGATAACCATTGCAATATTCACCATAAAGTTGGATTTTATCATTGGAAGTCGCCTAAACCTGGTAATTGTTTTGCCCGACGCACTCTGTATCTGGTCTTTGCCCTCCACGACAAAGAAGAACATTCTTTGGACAATTAAGGCAATTGCTTGCAAGACTGCCTCTGATCCTTGTCCGATCGAACTCCATCGGAAGATTACCGATAAGAAAGTTGTTATCTAAGTACAGACTGCACTTTATCTGCGTATTCCCTGGGAATGGAGCTGGAGAATTGATTCCTTGCTAAATTAATTGATGTTAGATTTTGAAATGTGGCCAAGTTTACTGGTAAATATCCATGGATATGGTTCCCTTTGGCATCAAGCACTCGAAGCATAATTTGCGACCTCTAATGTCGTAAGGCGATTGAAAGAGATATCGAGATAAACTAGCCTGGGCAAGGAAAGAACATCCATTGACATGGAACCTGAGAGCTTGTTGTCACTCAAATCTATCCATCTGAGGGGTTTGATCCTCGTGAGGGGAGTGATATGGCCAGAGAGTATATTGTGGCTGAGACGAAATGTTCCTAAACTCATTGGAAGACGTGGGAAATTTCCAAAGAACTGGTTATGGAGATCTGCTGTGTTGAGCCACCAAAGCCTCGTGAGGTCAGGGATTGTGCCTGCAAATCCATTGTTTGACAAGCTCAAATAGGTCAAGCTTCGTAATCCAGAAATTCTGGCAGGGATTACCCCCCAAGAGCTTATTCCCGACAAGGTCTAGATGATCAAGACTCTTGGGCCTTGTTTGGTACAAAAGAATGAGATGGTGGGACTAAGACTCAATAATCTCACTTTTTTTTTTTTGTTTGGTATGAAATAATACACAATCCAATGCCAGTACCAATCACCAATTCCATCCTTCATGGAATTATCCAATACCCACCTCCTCTGTTGCATTGCAAAATCAATTCTGTAATTTATTTTTTCAAGATGAAAATGCCCTCCAACCTTATTGGTTATTTATCAGTCATGCCTTCTTGCTGTGCCATTCCCTCTGCCGTTCCTACCGTGCCTCCGTTTTCTTCTTTCTCTGGTTCGACCACCCTCTTGGTCAAATCTTCAAGCCTTCTTGAACTCCATTTCCTTGTCTTCATCTTCGAACTTAGGTCAGTGACATTAGCGTCAGTGGGAGTTCATCTTCGAACCCAAGTCTACTCCATAGCTTCCAAGTCGTCAGACTACTTGTGGCATTTGGTCCGTTGAGATTGATGCCTGTGAGATGCAAACAGAGTGAGAGCTAAGGGAGGAAGAAGATGATCGTGGCAGGGGCCGGAGGGATCTGTATCTCGCGAAAGAGAAAATGATTTTCAAGGTACAATTTTTTTTTTATTAATTCCAAGGGTATTATACTCTTTTAATAATTTATGTTTAATTAGAAGATAAATATTCCATGCAATTATTACTTCATACAAAACATAATTTTAAAACATCAATCCCACTACCAATCCCAATTCCTCTAATTTCAAGTTTTCATACCAAACAGGGCCTTGGTGTTCCAAATTTGTGCCGGAATGAGATCAGTGAGCAAGTTGGTTGACACGTCAAGCCTTGTAAGCCTTTTCGGGCTTTCTAGGGTATTTGGTACTGGCCCTCTGAAGTAGTTTTTCCCCAGATTTAGAACGGTCAGCTCTGATAGGTTCCCAACAGTTGGGGATATGAACCCATCATATCCAACCGCATCGAGATCAATGGCTGTTATTCCGCTAGAGGATTTGTCTAGGGGCAAACTACACAGAATTCCCAGAAATTTTGAGCCAATGCTTTCACACGAATCCACCGATAAGTGCCAACTTCTCATCATATACGAAGATAAGGAGATCAAATTGGGATCGATGAGACGTTTTATCTCATGAAGAGCACAAGCATCAGATTCAAGTGTTATTCCGAGGGTTTGTGAAGCTACAGAACATGAAGCTATGGCTAGGGAGGGATAGAGAGGAAAGTGGCAAGTCTTGGGATGTTTCGCCATTCTCAGAGTGAAGTACGGTCGTTTCAAATGGTCTGATTGAAACTTCTAAGTGGTTTTTATAAGAATCAGAGCGTAAAGGTGGACATAAAATAATGAACGCCCGCGGACCCGCCAAGAACTTGAGCCATCCAAACAAAGATCATGAAGCTTGCGAGGCAGATGCCTTGGCAAATGTCATTCTTAACCATTGGAACCTGCTTAACTAACGAAATAATTTTGTAATCTTGCCTCATTTGACATAGTATATCAGGCAGTAACGAGTCAAAATAAAAACGCTGTTCAAGATGTTTAGAAAATGGTTGGTCAGGAAAAAAAAAAGTGTTTAGAAAAAAAAATACCCCCCACATGTTCGTGGTGGGTGAGCAGACGATAATTTAAGCACGATTACAAGTAACCCTATCTGGAGAACTGAAACTCCTTACAAGTGTTGTGAACTTCACACAGCTCGCGTTATAGGCACTTAAATTCCCAAAATATTGGTGCTTAGATGACTATACATATACAGCTAAACAACATGGAGAGTCATGTAAAAAGAGCACGGGCATGGCTTAACTTTTGCTTCAACCAAGATCAGGCACGGTGAAGTGTTCATCATCATCTTCAAATTCAATCCTCGGCTTCTTGAGAGACATGAGGGACTTAGAGGGTCTGTATGAGGCAACATTGCTAATTTGTGTGACTGGAAGTTGAGGGACTTCAGCAGCAGCCAATGCCTCCCCAGGAAATTGTTCCCCGAAGAGACCCACCTCCGATAACCATTCCAGCTCTCCAAACTCGAGTGATTCTTTCTGAACAAATAGATCCGAGGATTAAGATCTCCGCATCATAGCACATCGGACATAATTAAGGGGCTAATACAAGAAAAGAATCTCCATATCATATTAAAATTTTGTTGCGTTACTTGCCTTTTCAGGAGATTCGAAGTCAGTGAATTCCAACAAGTCATCCACAGCCCAAGGTGATGCGAAGGTTGGGACTTGCTGAGGCTGAGGGGGGATTTTTGCAGAAGCTTGTTGTGCACTCCGATTAGGTGGCTCTAAGCGACGTTCTTCATTGTCCTTGGAGCAGTTGGAGCTCAAAGCCACCCGGATACCAGTTGCAAGGAAGCGCTGGTGGTTTGCAGAAAGGCTGCCAGCTGAATGAATCGGTTCATCACAAGCTTCACAGAACAGCGCTCTGTCTTCAACACAAAATATAAAAGCCGGCTTGTCCTGTGTTTACAATATGCACAAATCACAAAACATAGATATTAGCAATTATCTATCATGTTCACTGAACAGGATAACTCATGCGCTAGTTTGGCCTAATCCTATCCAAGTCTTGTACAGCCAAAGTTGAAGAAGAAAAAAACAATATTTCTCTATTTTTTGCTTCTAGACCACCTACTTGAAAACGAGACATGCTTCTCTTAATTGGTACTTGATAAAGTAATGGAAGAGTATCCCAAAAACATCTTGCAGTAGCATAAAAACGACATGGACTGATATGTTTCCAAAAGGTATTAGAATCCTTAACCCAACCAACGATAAAATCGACCTTCATCCTCCCTTTGCCCACTACCCCCCCCCCCCCCAAAAAAAATAAATAAATAAGGTGAATTCTGTGTACATGGTCCAACAGGTTAGAACATATTTTCCTTTTACTTCCCTCATCAGTTTTTACAAAGCAAAAGGTGAACCAAACCATGTTAAATCGATGTTGTTTCATTCTCTCTGCTCTTCAGACGCACTAGATTTCTCAGTTTTTCCTCATCTCATGTCGAAGATAAACTCCTTTTAAAAGGAAAAATGGTCATGTACAAACCGTCCTAGCAGACAAAAAGATATTTATAAATCTGGAGATACACAGAAAGCAAGGGAATAAAATAAGAAAAAAAAAACTGTTACTTGGCAGATGTCACATGTGGGAAGCTTGGTAGACAGGCACTGAAGGAGAAGCCTCTGGTGCTTGCTGGCTAGCTTGTTGGCAGCATGAACTTCAATGTCGCATTTAGCACATAAAGCGGCCTCATCGGCGCAACAAATCACAGTTGCTGGAGCTTTCTCACACACATCGCACTGGATTTTCATCTCTTAATATCTTGGTCTTCACCTTTCCTCTTGAAACGATCCGTTCTCGTTGGACTGGAGAATGACGAATATATCCAGAAATCGCAGACGAGGCAATAAGCACTCGTGCCGACAAAACTTCCCAAAACACAAACCCACTTGGAAGTGTCGGGATTAGTATGAGTCGCTTGATCTAAAAACACGCTTTAACCAGACACTAGCTGTGAAAGCCAAATGTTAGGCCGAAAATGGCGATAGATAGATCAGGAGAGATTGGGATTGAAGCGGAGAGGAAAAAAGAGAGGTAAATGGGAAACACGAACACAATCAATAAATGGAGGAAGAAACTGTAGGACCCAAGAAAATGAAATGAGTGGAGGAGAATCAAAGACACGCTTCCGAGCGAAGCGATAAGGATTTGGAGCTTCCGTATCAATATCGGTAACATTAATGGAGGTCATGAATCCCCGTGGGACCATCCTGCCACTTGTTGTGTGACCGTGGAATCGCTAGCACTGACCCAGTTTGAGGTGGCCACTCAATTTTCAAGATATTTTTAATGTTCAGGAAAATTCATCATCTCTATCACTGCGCATTGTACAGTACTCCCTCCCTGCCTCCTCAGTCCCTTCCCAGGCATAAAAGTTAAATAACCACTCTACCCCCTCTCAAAAAAAAAAAAAAAAAAAACACTAAGCAAGATTCAGTTTCATTGATAAATGTTTTAAACATGTCATGATTTTTCTTTCCTTCTAAAAATGTCTCTAGTAAAAATATTAAATTGAGTCGCATGTTAATTAATTCGTGATAACTAAATGGAAGGCAAAATAAGAAATGTGCATTAACTTCGTCATTAAGTTTTGTTTTTTTAGTTTTCTCATACCTGGTGACAGAATAAGATTTGAACGATTCTTTTATAGATGGAGCGCGAGTAAATCAGTGAGAACAATGATGTGTTTGATGCCCTGTTGCATATAGCTGGCAATACGGGCTTACATATAGCTGAAAATACGGATGAATTCAATCTTTAAAAGTCTAAGACCTTGAATTCAGTTTTTTATTTTTAACTTTTTTTTTTTAGGTTTGGTCCGGATTAGACTCAGAAGCCCTATTTTAAAAAAATTATAAAAATTAAAATAAAATTAAACATTATAAATTCATTAAAATATTTTAAAATTTTAAAAAATTAAAATTATCACAATTAAAATCATCAATCAAAACCCAAATCCTTCTTATCCTCATCATTTACAAATAAAGCATTAGATCTCTCGGATATAAGTGTACTTATTGGAGATGGAAGTGAAGATTTAATGTCAATTACCTTTGCAACTTCTTCTTCATTACTTACAATAAATATTAACCAAATTGTGTCATTATCAATCAAATATGTGTGTGTGGGGGGGTGTGTGTATTTAAGATAAGCAGGCTTATCAGGGCTTGGAGGGTCGCCACGACCCGAGCCCTTTTTCACAAAACTTATCAGGATCAAGCCCTTAAGCCCAATTCCTTTAAAAAAATAATTTTCAAAGCTCGAACTTTTATTTAAACAGGACCTTCAGGCCTAGCCCTTATTCCCGACTCTGCTTTTGCACAAAGAAACGTACGGACCACCTTACCATCTTCTGGTCAACAAAAAGGATAAGGGTCCTCTTTTAGTTGGGAGAATTTCAATTGAGAAGACAGAAATATAATTTTTGGTAGGTCTCTAAAAAATTTAAAACTTCAGTTCAGTTTTGGAGTATTGATTGAAAAAAAAATTGAATGTGAAAAATATGAAAATACTCTCAATTCAAATATTAAAAAAAACTATCAATCACCATCACCGAAGCACCACTATCGATGATTGAAGCCTTGCCAATGATGGCAGCCACTGAACCATTGCTGCTAGTGGCTGGAGAATTAAATTCTCCAAAAGTGGCCGAGGGTGGGTGTAAAACCCATGACCCTTTGGCTCACCAAAAAGGTATGGACTACCAAGCCATTGAACCTATTCAATTATATAATATATAAAATTATATATATATATATATATATATATAATAAACTTTGTTTCCAAACCACTTGATTATTACATCACTTGTTAATCATGTAACTTTACTTTTAATATTTTAACAGGACTTGTTAATTACTAAACTTTCCCTGTTAACTTCATGACTCTTGTAACAAAACTATATTACTTGTTAATTGTATAACTATACTTGTTAATGCCTTAACAGGACTTGTCGGTTACTTAACTTTTCTTATAAAGTTCATTACTTCCATAATAGAACTACATTATTTATTAATCACGTAATTGTACTTATTAATACCTTAACAGGACTTGTTAATTACTTGAATTTACTTGTCAAATCTATGACTTCTTCAACTGAATTGTATTACTTGATAATCATGTAACTTTGCTTGTTAATCACGCAATAATACTTGTTAATTGCATAGCTTGACTTTTTAATACCATAACAAGGCTTGTTTAATCCTTGTTCTGAAAAAACAACTAAATTACTTGTTAATTGTATAACTTTACTTATTAATTTCTCAACAATACTTGTTAATTATCTATTGTCCCTTGTTGAATGAACATATAATTTAGTATATGTTCATTTAAATTATATCACATAATAAATTATATGATAAAGGAGACCCGACTGTCGTCGCTTTCGTTATCCGACAAACTCAATTTTTTATTTTATATGTTCATTCAATAAATGACAATAGACAATTAACAAGTAGTTGTTTTTTAGGAACAATGGTTAAACAAGCCTTGTTATGGTATTAACAAGCCAAGCTGTGCAATTAATAAGTACTGTTGCATAATTAACAATCAAAGTTACATGATTATTAAGTAATGCAATTCAGTTGAAGGAGTCATGAATTTAATAAGTAAATTTAAGTAATTAACAAGTCCTGTTAAAGTATTAACAAGTACAATTACCTGATTAACAAGTAATGTAGTTGATGGCTCAGTTAAGGAGCAAGTAGGCGTGCATAATGTAACATCATAAGTTCCCTTATTAGTAATTATCAGTGTTTTCAAGGGATAATTTGGTTAATTTAGATAAATTGTTATTTAGCGAGATTCATGAAGACTAATATGGTTTTTGAATCTTTAGATAGCCTTAGAAGAGGGTTAGGTCGAGGTTCAAGCAAGCCTGGCATGGAAGGGAGTTTAAAATTTTGTGGGGCTTTCTCTGCCATGTGCCGCGGTGGGCAAGTTAGTGCGCCGCTGCGCACAGGCAAAATCAGCACTTATTAGATCACAAAAATAGACCAAAAACAAAAGAGAGAAGAAGGAAAAATGAGAGAGCGATAGAGGAGAGGTTTTAGTATGTTAGGGCACGATCCTTAAGCTACTTTGAGGGCATTTGGAGCTTGAATCACAATTAGTTAAGTTGTACATTTCCTCTTCTCCCTCTTTTATGCGAAAATCTAAACATTTAGGGTAATGAGGGCTTTGACTTCAGTTCCCTTGGGTTTAAACCAAACCTATTGGGTTATTTAAGATCTTGGAGAGTTAAATCAAGCTTCTAACCTTGAGTTTATGAGTTTTATGGTGATTAAGAATTTTTTGTAAGGGTTTAGATGAACCCTAAGTATAATTTGAGAATTTTGAGACAATGTGGGACATTGATTAGTGAATTTGGTATGTTAAAATATTTAATAGGATGGTTAGAGTGTGTGAGAATGGTTGGTATTGTTAGAAAAGAAATTTTGAGTATTTTAAGCACTTAGAACTTAGTGAATTTGGAGTTATTCGGAGTGATAATTAACGATTATCACTTATTAGTGTAGATTGAGCATTTCTCGGGCCATATCGTGCGTATAGAATGTGTGGAGCTAATATTGAGCCACAGTAATCCTTTTCGTGTGACAAAAGGGTTGAGGTAACTATATAGTTTGTTGTGTTTATTAACTATTGTAACTATGTAGAATTAATTTTAAATGATAAAGTTGTAGTTTTGAAGAGTTGTGCATAATTTGACATTATAATTGATTTTAGCATGAAAAAGTGTTTTGTAAATGGTTATTGTTTCTAATTGAAATATATATACTATGTATAAAAGTGTGATGTGAAAATGTGGTGAAAAATAGTGGAAATTATGAAAGAGCATGATCATAGAGGGTGGGAGTTCACTCAAGATATGTGGGAACATGTGTGTGTGGAGATATGTGAGTGAAAAATTCATATGGTCGAGCTGACACCATGGGACATCTGGTGCAGCATTATATGGGACTGTTATCATGAGACATACGGGTAGTCTAGCAACTCTCTAGTACCCATTAGGGTATGATTAAGAGTCAACGATACCTCTATCACGAGTGTGTGAAGAGGGAAAAACTATACTCCGTAAGCGAGTTAGATTACCTTTGATTGGGTATTTTTACCACTGAAAGTGTGCTCAGGTTAACAAGTGATTGAACCAAGATAGCCTATGGTTTTATGTCGGGGAGTATTGGAGGTTCGGTGGTTAAATGATCATGTTAGTGTAAAACTATGTGTTTTGTTGAGAAGAGATATATATATCTCATAATTTTTAGGATGCTTGTTAATACTATAATTTTGATACTTTTTCATGGTTATTTATGGTAATAAACATTTGATGAGCTATATTAGTTACTGAGATGTTTATCTCACCTCATGGTTATATTTTACAGGTAAGGCTCTGGTAGGGGCAAAGGAAAGGAAGGGGCATTTGAAAAGTGAAGAGCACTATTATATAGCTCTTTCCTTTTCTCTTCTTGCGTAATGTAATGAATATTGTCACTAAATATTGCCAACTTGAAAACGTGACATTATTTGGATATCACTTGTATGAATTTGTGATAAGTGTGTATATCTTGGTCCAAGAATGGTGTTATGGATTAAGTGTGTACTTGGCCAAGTTGCTTACAAGTGATATATATATTGTAAGTGTTTTGAGTGTCAAAATGATCAATTGATTGATGTGTTGAATTTTTTCCACCCCATTGTGTTTTTGTCTAATGGGAGTTTGGTGGTTATTTTGAGCGTTATTGCTTAATTGTGTGATATGAATGGATTGTTATGTGGTGTGTGGTCCATTTGAGGTGGTCAATGTGTCTTTGGGGCTAATGGCATTGTGTATTGTGAGTTAGACACCATACTATGTGTTTTGTTGTGAAAATAAACCATTTTGGGTTCGGGTGTCCATCTTTTAAATGGATGATTATTTGAGTATGAGACTGGTGCCATTAGCTAGAAGGCTCAAAGAGCCTCGTGTGGACACTTTAACCACTCAAATCAAATGTTGGATGGCAAAATGACGCACTTCGAAAGTTTAAAGAAAAGTCATGGCAGCAATCTGCTGTCATGACAGTA